TGTTTTACAGATGAGAAAATAGATAGACAAAGCATTAAGTAGCTATTATTCCACAATTAGTAAGCACTACAGCCAGAATTTGATTCCAAGCAGGACAGCTTCCATATATTTAACCACTATGCAATACTGGCTTTTAACGTACTTACCCACATTATCAACCATATATTACCTGCAACTGCTTACTATTAGACCTTCTGGGGCTGCATTGTAAAATTAAGTTTCTTAAAAAAACCCACATAGATATTCAGCCTTGTTTTCCTAACTCCTTTCTGATAAACTAAAAACTGCCTTTGGGGAAATAGTATTTTAAAACATCTTTGATTTACATGCATAGTCTTATACCTGTAATAGTTAAGATATCCTGTTCATATTTGTAATGATCAGGATTGCAAAAAGCAGGACCTTCAACACATATTGTACTATTTATTTGTATTCTATGAGAGACAATAGATGTGGATGCCTACTAAATTATCCTACTTAAGAAAGTGAGAGTGATACTTTTATACCTTTGCAGCACATGTACACAAATTACAAAGTTCTTACAAACTGCATTTTCAAACAGTCAATTAGTAATAAAAATAACTCGTGCCCAAACAAATCACTCACCTTAATAGTGAGACAGTTGTCAAAAACACAAGAATTTGACTTGTGATTCAATTCTAGTTCCATCACTTGTAAGTGTAGTAAATTTGGACAAAGAATTTAACTATGGCCTCATACTTCTAATCTGCAATAATGGGATGCATTCAGTACTTCTTAGAGACAGTGAAAATTAGCTAGTAACACTTGGAATCTATGGAAAAAAATGCCACTACACAGTATCTGCCACTATTTATGAATGTGCAATGTGTATGACTTTGGATGACTTGGGGGATGTTTACTAAGGCTGGAGAGGCTATGTTAAATTAATTTGAGGAGCAATCATAAGAATGGCCTCAAACAGCACTATTTGAGGATAAAGCAGTAACTGCAATATACCCATCAGTTCCTAAAATAAAATCTGATCTATGTAATGATCATTCAATTTTAAAAAAAAGCATAACTGGGGAAAAAGGAAATCTAATTAATCTGCTTGATCCTTGTGAGTTCAAGGGTAGCCTGGACTACACAGGTGAGACTATCTCAAACCCTCCTCTCACGCCCTGCCAAATTCTGCCTGATCCCTCATAACTTAAAACTATATAGGACTCCCCTGCACAGAAAATCAGAATTTTGTCCTTTAGCTTTCATTTCTTCAGCTCTGGTTTCTATCAAAGATACTGTATAGTAACTGAAATCCATACTCCTAAAAAAGGTTGTAAGTAGCAAGTCTATGCACAGTCACACTTCTTTCCAGTTGGTTACAAAGGGTAAGTAGCTCAGGCAATTACCAAAAATAAATAAACCATCTAGAAAATTTCTTCTTTTGGAAATTCAATCCAAGTCTGAGAAAAACACTAATCTGGATAGAGTATCTCAAAGGAATTAAAACCCATTCAGCTGATCATATAGTAAATTAATATGCAATTTTGCTCTAGGTCAGTGATATATCTGAGATCAATAATTTACTAAGGTAAATGGGGAAGAAAAAAACAGAAAATGGGAAAGACATAAAACAGTCGGGCTTTTGGCACTACTGAAGAATGAACTTTTATATGCTAGGTGAGCACTCTACCAGTGTGCTACACTCAGTCTTTACTACTCTGAAACAGGATCTTACTAAGTTGCCCAGACTGGGCTGGAACTTGTCATCATCCTGCTTCAACTGGGATTATAGGCTTCTAAATTAAAATTTTTATTTAAAATAATCATCATGGCATACTGACACACCTCCACTTAGTAAGTATTTATCTGAAACTCACCTAAGAAAATTTACATAGGTTAGTCCAATTATTTTCCCTTGTCCTGCCAAGAAAATATGAGATTTTGTTTTGTTTTGTTTTTCCTGGTACCAGAAATAGAACTCAGAAGCTTGCCCTTGCCAGGCAGGAGTTTCTTTATACTCAGGGGTATTAAAAAAAAAAAAAAAAAAAAAAAAAAAACCTACTTCAGTATTCCATACTTAGTGAGTATCAGAGATCTAAAGAATAAAAATAAGCATCCCATGAATACAAATCATCATCTCTCCGTTTCATACAGAGACAAACCAAGTATGCTCAAAACATGACCAGTATGTGTCAACACTGAAAGACTGAACTTGTTAGATGGCAACAAAATCTGAATAGGTATTAGCACAGACAAAAAACTGTCAAAGTTGATCTTGATGTTCTAAACTGTCTAAAGTGTTACTGGATGATAGCACTCAAGGAAGCAGAGTAGTCCATTCAAGATTCTTTTAAAAGACAGTGGAAGAATTAAGGTGCATATTATTACAAAATCAGAACAGGTTAAGCTTCCTAGATTAAGAAAAAATGTATCCCAGAACTAAACATTAAAGACAAGAAGAAACACTAGGGGGAAAAAATAGTACATTCTGATGAAACAAAAAGTATATTAATATTAAAGAGCCAAAATCTGAGAAATACACGTACTGAAAAAGCATTGAGCAGGGCCCCTAAGGTCTTTAGTAGTACAGAATTTGTCTAGTCTTTACTATTTTTCAACCAAAAAAAGATTAAATATAATTTTGTGAAAGTTAAATTTTCATTTAAGTGTTTTAGTAGTCAAACATAGCTGATAAGAGTTGCTGCTTTCTCAAGAAAGCCTGGGCCAAGAGCCGGTGCTGGAGGTATCCTTCACTATGGGGGCCTTGCTATAGTTCTGCCCTGCTCAGCCCTGTATACTCCAGCATGGTCGACCAGGCCACGTCCTACAACGACTATGCAGTGCCTGTCCCAAATGATGCTAACATGCCCAATGTGCCCAGCCAACCCCAGGCGCCCAGGGTTCCAGCTTATGTGTACCTCTTTCTATGGACAGGGAGGAAGGTACCCTCCCTTGCACCCTTATAAAACTGTGAAAACGACAACAAAGGTGTTTTTGCACGTATACCTATATGTTAATGGAGGTTGGTTTTGTTTAAGGATGTGCTTCTGGGGCATCTAGCTTACATCAACAATCTCTTGACTGTATACTCTAGAAAAGGTAGCTTTTAAAAATACAAACCAAAACATTACATTAAAAACTTTTATTATAATGGTATTTCTAAGAAAGAAAAAGTGGCGAAAATGTGTTTGCTTATTTAGAATCAGGACTCTACAGTGGCTTACGTAAAAGAAATAAAACCTGCTGAAGGTCATAGTTAGCGACCAGAGACTTGAGCTAAGGGACCTTCTCTCTGGTATAATGCTGTATGCCCCCCACCCCCACCCCAGGCTCAGAAGTAGTTGTCTCCCTTTCCGTATGATTAATGGTACTTAGAAAATTTAACAAAGAATACAAATAAGTCACTCTAAAGTAAAATTTTAGAAATCTTTCCAAGCAAAAACTTGATTTTGCCTTTCCCTGTAGTGAGCAAAAACAGAAAAAGCAGCATATTGTTCCAGGTGGACATATGTAAAAACTTCAGAATGCTTTAAAAAGCTGACAGGTTTGAGGACTTGGAATCATTCCACCACCACTTTACTCATGAACTTTTCTAGATCTCATATCAAAGGACTAGAAGCAGTTACTCTTTCAGAGGTGAAATAAGCGTTAATTTGCTTTGTCCTACTCTAGTTCTGTGGGCACAGTAGTGTCCTACCAAAAGAACATCAGTGATACCTAATAGAACAGAGACCAACAGGGCATAAAAGCTGAGAAAAATTATGGATGAAAAAAACAAAAAAAAGAGACATCAGACCTTCAGTGGCCTGATAATTTGTGGCCTATACCAGCAATAAACCTCTGAGAGCTTTCAATGATACAAATAACCTGCTGTGGCATGGGTGCCATTGGTTTACCACTGGCCTATCCTTTGAAAAAGCTTGAAATATAAAGCAAGTTAATGATTTTTTTTTTTTATCTCAAAACCATCTATGGCCTTAGTATTCAATCATTTCATAATTCTTTCATGAATGTTAACTTTCTCTACATTATAAACCCTATGAAATTAATGATCATGTATTTATTGTTATATTCCCAGTAATAGCGATTGAGTAAATACTAAGTACATACATATTAACTTGAAGTTGCCATCAATTAAACTAATCATAGGGATTTGAAAACTAAGATTTTCTAGTAAATGATGCCAAGAACTCCACTACTGATGTAACTTCAGGAATCCCACTGCAGCAAAAGAAGAAGGAGGCAGAGACGGACCTTCCTAGGTTCTCTGCCTCTCTTACAAATGATTTTTGGCATAGTTAACTGAAGACTATGATGTTTGCCAGGTGTGGTAGCACATGCCTATAATCTTACAACTTGGAAGGCTGAACAAGAGGATTGCCATGAGTTTGAGGCCAGACTGGGGTGTGGGATGAGTTCAAAGCTAGCCTGAACTACACAAGACCCTGTCTCAAAAAATTTTTTTAAAAACCTATGTTTTTTATATAGGAATTTGGAAATTAGGACCAAACTCTCAGTGCAATTACAAATTACAAAATTTTTCCATATGAAGAACTAAGTGGCTACTTGCTTTGATAAATAATTTCTCAAAGTTCTCATTAAAAACTTAAGAAAAAGGTAAATAAACCAAACTTCATAGAAAAATAGTATTTACAACTCCATTCAAAAGTAGTTTTCAAAAGCAAACATAATTCAACGTTAAAGCTGAAAACTTTATATTCAACCAAAGCTGCCAGGTCTAATAAATTATTAATAGAATACTATATCAAAAATAAGGCAATAATCCAAGATATGCCATTAAAGATTCTTCCATTTCCACAACTTGACACAACTAATTTATCTAGTAACAAATGATATTTTATCCAGATTCGGCACATCTAAAATCCTTCAGAACAGGGAAGATAAAAATGTGATCTTCTTTAGACTCTCAACAACTGAAGGAAAATAATTTCAACAATACAAACAGGTAAAAAAAAGTGTTTAAAATTCAAGAACGCAGTATCAATACACAAAGGGTATCAGGTGCATATACGCAGTACAGTGATAGCAAATTAATTTATTTAGTATTTTTTCCATTCCATATCATCAGGAGGATTGATTTCAACTTTCCTTTTACCTACATCAGACCAGTTGGTACTCAAAACTGTACCACCAGATTCCATCTGCAATTAAAAAAAAAAAAAAAAGAAAACATTAATTTCTGGACACTGTAACCAAAGAATATTTTCCTTAAAATGTTTCAACTAGAGTCCCAAATATTGGCAGTTGTATATACCTTGAATAAATTCAGCACACTTCTTTGATTTAATCTTAAGACATTCTAGAATGGTTAGTAAGCTCCATAAACTATGAAAAGGAAACTTAAGCACATTTTTGTAGGTGCATCATGATACTGCCATATCAAGCACCATGCTCTCCTCTGATAATCAGCATACAGCTATGTGTGGAAAAGCACCTTCAAATGAAAATGAAATGGACTCCCCTTAAAATTATGTTTAATCTTTTTTATTTTGCTAAAGAAAGTAAAGAGCAGACAAAATAATACCAGCTAAACATTTTTAAAGATCCCTACTTAAAGTTCCCCTTATATACATTCAATTTTACTCTGAAAAAAAAATTTTTTTTAAAAAAAAATCAAGGTACATACATGTAGGTATACAAACTCAAGGTTACAGTCTAATAGGTCATCTACTTAACATCTACTGAATATGCCATCCACCAACAATCCTACTACATTCATAGTTACATGTAAGCCACATTATTAATGATGCTTTGAACATCAACAAAATGTATATATAATACTGGTATTGTAAGATTATAATGAAGTTAAAAATTTTTCTCTCCTACAATGTCTTAGCTATTATAGCATTACCATGTTATATTACTCAAGCATCTATGGTAATGCTGGTATAAAGAAATCTACTGTATTGCCATTCATACTAAAAGTACAGCAGGGGGGATTTAGCTCAGTGGCATAAGCGCCAGCCTTGCAAGCGGGCTGCTGTGAGTTCGATCCCCAGTACCAATTTAAAAAAATAAATAAAAAAAAAGTACAGCCAGGGACATAGTTGGTGCAGTGTGGACCTGACAAATGCAAGTTTATGAGTTCAATTCCTAGTACCAAAAAAAAAAAAAAAAAAAAAAAAAAAAAGTACAGCACATACAATTATATACAGTACACAAAATCTTGTAATAATAAACTATTAAAAGTTTTATGTATTTACTAAACTTTTAAATTTTAACTAGATTTTAAAGTATAAACAGTTTACTATAAAAGATACAACACACTTACAGCAGATTTACTGTGCAAAATTCTAGTTAACAACAAAAAAAATTTATATAAGGCTATTGACCTGTTCTGTATAAATACATTCAATGCTGTATAATGATGAAAATTGTCAAATGATGCATTTGTTTTTCAGAACATGTCCCCTTTTTAAGTGACTTATGACTATGTATTAAAAAATAAAATACTTCCGGACATTTGTCAGTTTGATGAAATGAAAACATACTGACTTGAATTATATAAAATATTACATACCCTACTCTTAAATACTATTTCAATTCCAAGTCCTCTGCCAAACGTCCTCACATGAGTTCCTTTGCATAGGATGCTCTTACCCTGGTTCTTTTCATTCTTTTTTTGGGTACCAGGGATTGAACTCACAACCTCACACTTGCCAGGCAGGTGCTTGCGCCATAAGATAAATCCCCAACCTTATTTTCATTCTTTATTCTTTTTTTTTGAGGGGGGGAGTACTGGGAATCGAACTCTGGATTTGTGCTTGCCAGGCAGGCTCTGTGCTAGATCCCTGGCCCTACTTTATTCTCTGAACAGGAAATGTCACCATGTTGCAGTAGCATTCCTTGACCCTACAGTATCTGTCTTCTGTATAAGCATAATTACTACGGTAAGTATCATACTGTCCTATTGTAATTTAAGAGGCTGCCTTCTTGTATTTACTTGCTATCCTTGATGGGAACTAAAGGAGACAGCCCTTCAAGAGAAAGGAATATATTTTCCTAATACAATAATCTTTGTTATTCACGGACGACTGGCTTTAGGCACTGCCTTCCCATACCAAAATCTGCAAGTGCTCCAAGTTTCCCACACAGAACGGCTTATCTACATATAACCTATGACTATCCACCCATAGTCTCTTAATTCATCTCTAGATTATGTGTAACATAATCTTAAACAATGTAAATGTTACATAATTACTATACTGATCAGGGAATCACAAGAAAAATGTTTTTCTGTTTGTACAGTTCAGATTCAATTTTTCCCCTAATATTTTAGATCCAATTAGTTCAATCTGTGAATACAGAAACCATGGATAAAGAGCTTAATGTATTTATATCATAGCTCTTAACAAACTGCCACAGTACATGGTAGGCATTAAATAAAATTACTGAATTAAATGTGACAAAGCTATGTAACAAAACATCCTTCAGAGGACCTTTAGTTATAAGCTGAAAGCCTGTATTCATTGGTAACACTTTTTTCTCTATCTCCTTATATAGTACAATTTGGCATTTCCCTCTATTTTGTACATGTTGGTCTTATCCCAATTAGATTAGGAGATCACAGAGGACAGAGTCTATTTTGTTTGTTTTGTTTTCCCAGAAAACAGAAGCAAGACCATGGCATGTTTTCTTCCCAGAAAACAGAAGCAAGCCATGGTAAGGTCAGTGTTTCCATACATAGTTTATTTGTAATGCACTTTAGATGTAATGCACTGTTACTTTGTTAGCACATTTTCAGAAGTAAACAGTCAGTCTTTCCTTTTGGGACAATTCAGTAGATGTGTTTTCCTAATAAAAATCAAATGATTACACCAAATAATCTAAAAAGTTATACGGTGATGAACTGTCATCAAAATCTTAGCACTCCAGATCCAATTCAGGTAGTACTCATCTCCCATAGCAAAACTGAACTTTCTTAAGTAGCAGAGAAATCATTAAATGAATGATTAATTAATGTGCACCTTCTATTAACCAAATACAGTCAAGGAAATCATTCTAGAAAGTAAACAATAGAAACTCATTCAGCTACTATGATAGATTCAACAAAGATAATTTCCTTTCAGTCATCGCAACATTGTTATCTCTTGGCCTTCCAATTTCAAATTCATTAAGTCAAAATATTATCTATCTGCATAAACCACCTGTTTCTTATCTCTCTCACTGAGTTTTCAAAACTACTACTCCTTTTTTAGAGGAAGGATGAGGGATTGAATTCAGGCCCATGGCACTGAGCTATATCTCTGAGCTTTAGCCCTGCTAATCACCTTAGGCTGGGCTCAAACATCCGATCCTCCAGAGTGCTCAGATTAGTCATGAATTCCCAACCTCTTCAGCAATTACTCTTCATCAAGTTTACAGCAAGAAAAAAATGTTCAGACAAAACCTTTTCAAAAGGTTTCTCAACTATAATATATATATAATTTGGTCTCAAATTATCTCCTATAAGTATCTGAAACTTACTCCCATAATATTAAAAATAAAGTTTATATTCTTACAAATGATTTGTTCATGGCACGTTTGACTTCATCAGAGCCATCTGAATAGATCTGCTGAAATAACTTGTTTAAAGCTGCATCTCCCTCCAATTTCTCATTCTTTTCTTCTTCTTTGATCTCACCAACCAACTTATCCCAATTTCTTGTATAATGAGATGATGATGGATATAAGTTCTTTACATCTAAGAAGTGAAAATGGCAAAGGTAATTAAGCAATCTGTTTTGATTATGTCAATAACATACAAACTTTGAGATCATAGTGCACAAAACACAGCATAATAGCAACAAACTGAATTTCATGTTTGCAGTGTCTTTTCCATACATACATCAATAATAACTGGAATTACAATTCTAAAAACTGAATCAGCACAATGCAAACATGAGGACTCTCTTTTGAGCAAAGTAACTCACAGCAAACTTAGTATATTATATAATACTATACAGAAACAGATTCTGTATTTAATATAACAGAGGGTGCCAGATGAGGTATACAGAAACTTTCATATTTTAAAAAAGTGACAAAGATGGCACGAATAATTTAAAACTACAAGTTTTTAAAAAGACTACTTAAAACATTTCTCTTGTAAATAACACTTCAATGCTAAAAGTGTAGCTTTTCTGAGGTGCTTATAATTTCTCTTTCCAAAAGAAAAAAATAAAATATAACCATACTCATGCCACAACAGCAAATTAAGACTCTATCTCTACCCACACTAAAAATATGGTATCAACAGGAGATAATAAGGAGTTACCAAAATTGAAAAACACTACCCTTGAGTCTCCTATTATGCAAAGGGTATGTGAAAGTACACATAAGTAATTCATAACATATATAGATATATACGTTCTATATTTAGTACAGAAAAGAATGTTGTACAGACTGCTGCTTCCAGATAGGCCCTTAAATTGGGCTCAGGGCAGTGCCAGCAATTCCACCAGACTAAGAGAATAAAGATTTTGGCACACAGAAATCTCAAAAAATAAGAAACTGACCTAACAGGTCTAGGAGGCAGCTTTGTTCACTGTTCAAGAAAAATAGAATGGTCACACATATGAGCCACATATATGTTTTAAAAATTTTTAGTAGCTTGTATGTTACTAAAAACAAATAGGTGAAGTTCACTTTAATAATGTATTTCATTTAGCCTAGGTATCAAAAATTGTATCATTTCAACATGAAGTCAACAGAAAGATATTAAAACATTTTATGTTTTTTCATATAAATCTTTAAAACTGCTATATATTTTATCCTTTAGCACACCTGAATGAAGACTAGTCATATTTTAAGTGCTTAATAGATCCACTTATAGGAGCCAGCAGCTCCTATACTGGACATCAGCTGCAGTGCTTTAAAAAAATATCTTTAAGAGATTTGTCAGTATATGAGGACTTATTATTAACATTAATGTAAATGTTCCTCTTCCAGAACCCTCTGTGTATCCCTTTCTCAAAACCACTGAGAAACTATTAAATACTAAGTAAGTTTTCCACTTTTTCTCTTGACTTTCTTCCTGCAGATATCCTCCATCAAAACAAAACAAACCCTCAAGAGACACTATACTATTTTAATCAGGGCAGGTATGTTTTGAAAGTCCTATTTACCTTCTACTGTGCTAGGAATTTGTGTATTTCCACTAGTAACTAAAGAAAACAAAACCTGCATGCCATGGTAAGTTAAGAGCCTGAGAATCGGATTTAATTAATCCTATGCTGAATCCCAGGAAGGACAGGAATAGAAGTTTTAATCTCTGTTTTACAGATAAGCAAGCTAACTCAGGTTAAGTGACTTGCCCTTATCTATAGTCTCCAGCTTGCAGTACACAAGAATCTAGCAAGCATTATTAATTCCTTACAAAAACTAACAGGACAGGAGAAATGGCATTTTGAATATCTAGGGTGCTGAGTTTAGGAAAACTAAGTTTAGCTGTAATGCTAAAACACACTGAAATTTAATCTCAGAAAAATCTTGACATCTGAGGATGGCAGATTCTCTGCAGAGTTGAGTAATCTAACTTTCTTGTTCATTCACTATAATATCAAATAACTTCAGACACTCATGTCAGCAGAAACCATTTCCACTGTTAGGAAATGCAGCAACGAACAGCATCATAGAGGGGTTAACAAAAGAACATGGTTTTAGTCCTAGACAATGAAATCTGTTGAGCTGATCTTAGCAAGATGATTAACCTTTCTGGGCTCGTAAAATGGAAGGAATAATACAAGATTGCAAATTATGTAAGACTATTGTTAGGATTGAGACGTTATATTTAAAATGACTCTTAAAAAGATCTTTGCACAATATAGAAGCCTGAGCTCCAAAATTTCTGGTATCAATTGCAAGAGAAGCATATAACATTTTTACTATGTCTTTGAAACATTCACTAGATGCATCTCACTCCTTAAACATTATCTGTTGACAGGAGGACTGCAAGTTTGGAGCCAACTCAACAAGACCCTCAAAATGAAAAAATTTTAAAAACAAGCTGGGTATGGTAGAATATACACCTATAATACCAGCACTGTGAGAGGCAGGAGAGGATGGCAAGTTCAAGTCCAACCTGGACAACTTGGCAAAGCTGTGTCTCAAATAAAAAGGACTGCAAGTCATAAAACTACACAAAGGCCCTGAGTTCAATCCCTAGTACCACAAAATTCTGTTGGTGCCTATTTAAGATGGTATCATTAGGGGAAGCTGGGTAGAGTACAGGGGAATTTTCTTTTGCAACTATATATGCATCTAGAAATATTAAATACAAACGCACGTACAAATGATCTATTGAATAACTTATTTTCTGAAAGCTGCCATACGTAATTATGATTTTTGTTATAGAACTGAAACTACTTGGGACACAATGTTAGCGTATTTTAGTCATTACATCAGGGCACTAGTAATGAAAACTCTCTCCATTCATTAATGAGATTATAGTAAAACATGCTCTTATAATTCTCAGAGTGCATTCCAGATTCCAGAAAATTGCTTATCTACTTATCACATGTGCTTAGAATTGATTCCAAACACAACACTATTCATCCCTTAAAAGGTCCTATAATCAACTGTTAGCTTTTTACTTTGCTCCTAGGCTTTCTTTTGGCACTTTACCTGTTTGTGTCCATCTCTAAATTACCAATATAGTAACATGGGGCTAAAACCTTACTCTACGAGGCCTGAAATTTCAGGAAATTGGAGTTGACAATTTGGTACAAAGAACAAACAGAATAAAGGAGGTAAAGAGAGGAAGATATTATCTGCAAAGCAAACTAATTCACAATCGAAAAGGAAGCATGGAAAAAGACCAATGCAAACAATCTCAACTATCATAAACTACATGGTAAACACCCCAACTTCTCCGGCATTTTGCTGTCATTCATCTGTATTCCTAGTTTAAGAGTTAAAAACATTCAAAAGAAAGGCTGCTTTGTATTCATTACACAGCAACCTTATTATATTCAATGTATCTTATCTTAGAAACATAAATAAGGGAAAGTAGAAAGAATGTTCATTACTGTATAACTTAAACTAATCAGTACATTAAGAATTTAAAGTTCATCAAGGCTAGAAAACAAACCTGCTATGAACTGTTTGGACGCAGGCACATCTCCTTGCCCCTCTAGCTTTTCCCATCTCACAGCCTCTGGCTTTTTCATTTTAATTTCAATCTGCAGGAAACACCAAATAATATCCATTATTCAATGTGAAAGACATAAAACAGTAAAAATGCAATTTTCTTAAGTCATCAAAGTTTTATTAGAATAGTGTTTTTGACAGTTTCCTTAAATTATACAAGGTTAAATTTGAAGAACTATGAAACATTTCTTTCTGTTCAAATTTACCATTCAAAAAACAACGTAACTACTATATAAGCTACAATTAAGTCTTTTTTAAATTTTTATTTTTAATTAGTCCATGTTTGCAGTACATAATGATTACATTCATTATAGGGAATTGGTATATATACACAGCACATCTTAATCTCACCCCCCCCCCGCCCACTCTCCCCATACCCTGCTCTAAGCCACTTTCTTGGTCCCCTTCCCATTTACAAAGAAGTAGTAAAAAATTATTTTTCTTTTAGAGCAGTGCTATGTCTTAGATACTGCTGGTTAAGGGGAAGGCTGGTACGGACACCTAATGAGTAAAGACCAAAGAATGCCACTAAACATCCTGCAATACTCTGGGCAAGCCCCTAAAACAGAACTGTCTAGCCAAATGTCAACAATGCCAGCACTGAGAAACCCTGTTTAGTAGTAATTTCTATATTCACATGTGCTCTAACGTTTTTGCAATTCTTTACAGGTTGAGAATCCCTTTTCTGAAATGCTTGGGATACAAGTCTCTGAGACTAAGATTTTTTGGATTTGGGAATACAGTATTTGCAAATACATAAGAAATATTGAGGGCTGGGGATGTAGCTCAGCAGCGTAAGTCTGTCTGGGAAGTACAAGGTCCTCAGTTCAATTCCTGCCCCCCCCCCCATACTGGGGATAAAATTCATTTGTCTCATATATTCATTTATATATAAAAGTCTGAAGGTAATTTTATTACAGTATTTTTGGTGTGCATGTGGTTTTTTTTTTTTTGTCTTTTTCGTTTTTATCGGTACCAGGTATCGAACTCAAGACTGCCTGCTTGCAAGACAGGTGCTTATGCCGCTGAGCTAAATCCCCAGCCTCTGTGTGCATGTGTTTTGACTTTGACCTGTCATATGCAATCAGGAGTGGAATTTTTCACTTGTGGCATCAAGTCACAACTAAAAACAGGATTTTAGAGTGTATATTTTCAATACTAGGATGTTTGACATATTCTAAACACCCACTATAAGTAGGTGGAGTCTTCAAGGCAGTAGGGGATATTTAATATTAGTGACACATCTTTGACCATTTGGAGGTATGAGAGACTTGAACATAACAAAAGGGTTTGGGGATTTAGCTCTGTGGCAATGCAGTCTTGAGTTGGATCCCCAGTACCAAAAAAAAAAAAAAAAAAAAAAAACAGAAGAAGCAAAACTCAAGAGTGATTACACCTGGCTGAGACTTTAAAGGGCTATGAAAGGCAGATTTATTTGCAAGAGGAAGAGGTATGTCTCCAGAGGCAAAAAGACTGGCCTAAAACTGCAGCTTTGTACATGAAAGGACCCTGTGAACCAGGGAGTTGCTTAAGTCCAGGATTTGTATGTGAGCATAAATGGATAGAAAAAGAGATTCAGAAGACAGATTTTAAAAAGCATTAGAATGCTAGACTAAGTTCACTTAGTAAAATGAAAAATTAATAGGACTTTAATAGCACCTTTCACTCTAATCACATCTGGTCTCCTTACCCTTAATACGTAACACCTACCCACGCCCACGTCTGTTGTTTTCCTACATGATGCTGTTGTTCCCATTTTTAGCCTTGCAAAAATCAGTTTTTTTCAGTACAAATATGGTGTTTTAGTAAACAGTATTAGACAATAATATGCAGTTTAAGAAGCAAACTAGAATTTTATATCTTGATTTTTCCTATGAAAAGGATCATCAGTTTTGTAAAATGGAAAAAGGCAAAAAGACAGGTTTAACAAAATGAAAATCTATTCACACTTTGGTTCTTTCCTTTTTTATATTAGATAATTCATTTAAATCAGTAATTCCTGGTAATCTTTCTAACACTTGTATTTACCATGAGACCTCTCAAAATCTGCACTTAAAAACTGTCTTAAAGTAGTAACAGAAAAATCAGCCAGTATTTTTAATTAAACATAAAGTTATGTAATGCAGGGCATATGATTTCTAAATGTTTATTTTCTTAGGAATGCAGAAATTTAACAACTGTTTAAGTAAAAATACATGAAACCAACTGATACTGGGGCTAAGAAAAATAATACTGCATCCTTAAGGTAATTTACATGTTAGAATACTGCATAAACAAATACAAGTATTTTATTAAGAATTTCCAGAATTCTATAAGATAAAGTATGATTAACTTTTCTAAAGTAAAATACAAGTAATATTTTCTTATATACAATATCATGGATAGTACTTTGGATATTTCAATTTATCACTTCTGGAATACTTACCAAAATGGTACAGAAAATCAACAACCAGGACTGAAAAGAGCTACTAATAGTGTGCTAAAATTTAAAAGTACATCTTGCTCCTTCTTAACTCTTTTGGGAATGAGAGTCTAGGAAAAAATCATGTATACAACCATACTCAACACAGCCGCAGGCTACCTTATATTCACATTTAATGTTCCTTTACTATGTACTCTTTGTTTCACTTGAAATGCAGCACAGACTAGCACTGACATCTACTGAAAATCACTGTAACCTGAGTAATTTTGTAGTATTTATAAAGCCAGTCAAAGTTCTTAGCAACAATGTGCTTCAACTGAGACGAGCTGACCTGAACTTGAAATTGTATTTAATTCATTCATTAAAATAGGTACCTGTAATAAACCATTTAAAGCCATTTTTAAAAGGTAAAAAGGTGGGGCTGGGAGAGGTCTAATTTCTATGAAATTTTTTATGCCTCTCTCTACTTTCAATGCTTACTGAATTTTAAGTCTTGATGTTTCTAGCAGACACTTCTTGAATTGCCAGTCCAATTTTGTAATTTTTTATTGCAAACATTAATAAATCATTCTATTTTCATTTAAGTAAAAAATATTTTAAAGTCCAACTTAAAACTCTATGAGTTTGGTTGAATATCCAAATGCACAGGGAAGCCTTTCAAGAACCATAATGTCCGAAAACAGTATCTATAGGTTATTAGCTAGAATCTCTACTGTACTGGATCATTAGTTCCTCGACATTATACAGTATGTACTAGTATCTACCTCTGAAGTCTCCTTTGCATAAAAGAACGTGTATTAGGGGCTGGGGATTTAGCTCAGCAGCATAAGCGCCTGCTTTGCAAGCAGGCAGTTTTGAGTTCGATCCCCAGTACCGATAAAAAGGAAAAAGACAAAAAAAAGAACGTGTATTTCTCTTAATGAGAGGGACTTCAGATTTAAACAGAAGCCTTATTACTCCTAAGAAAACATGGCATGTAGACATCATTTTTAAGTGCAAGATCCCACTCAGCAGTCACTTATGGAACATACGCACTCTGGGAGGTAGACACAGGAGCATTACAAATTTGAGCCCAGTGTGGAAAACTCAGCAATACTGTGCCTCAAAATAAAAAGAAAAAAAAAAGCTGGAGATGCATTTCAGTGCAATCCCAACACTAGAGAGGGTCAGGGAAAACCTCTTTCCCATTCTAAAGAGCTGTCGGCATTAAACAACAGCCTTGGAACATTCTCTTAGTCAACCTTCTGTTGCATAGTACAGCAGTAGCTCTATTTTCTTGAGGTCAGATAAATAAATCTATCTTCTTTATTTTTTACAATCAAATTGCTTTATAATCTTTTTTGTTTTTGAGACAAGGTCTGGCTATGTAGTTCAGGCTGGCTTTGAAAACTCACTACAGTAGGCCAGGGTGGCCTCCAACTCATGGCAAACCTGTGGCCTGACCTTCCCAAGTGCTGAGATTGTAAGTATACGTCACCATGGTCAGCTTTATAATCACTGTTAAAATTCAAAATGGCAAAGCAAAATTTTACTACTTAATTTACATAATTACTGAATACCTTCTCTGAGCTAGATATTGCTGGTACACAGGACACAGCTTTTATTCTTTTGAAGAGACGATAGTAACACAACAAAAAAACATTCCAGCATACATATTCCACTATGGATTCTGTATAGTGTTACACATATCTACTGAGAAATATCTAGATAATCAAAAGGAAATACACCAAAATATCATTAGTGGTAGATGTACACGGAAGCTCATATAATCCCAGTTCTCAGGTAAGCTGAGGCTGAGGTGGAAGGTTTTCCAATTTGAACCAGCCTAAGAAATTCACTGAGACCTGACTCAAAATAAAAAACAGAAAAAGGGTTGGAGATGTAGGTAAAAAAGCTCCAATACTATACACCCCAAAAAGGGCATACATAAGTGTAAGCCTGAGTAATGACTTTCTTGGCTCCTCTATACTATTTTCAAATTTTCTGATTTACATTTATTTCTTTTATAACCTGTATAAAAATTTAAATAACCAGGGTAAAATAACAGTAGTAACATTTACTGAACATTTAGATACCTAGTGTGTTATTCCCTGGCATGTGATAAGCAGTCAAAAAAAAAAATCAGCCAATACATAGTTCCCCACAGGCCAACAATGTAGGACTTAAAACAGTAATTGAGCACAAGGGACAAAGATGTTCTGCTAGATAATAGAAGGGGCAGGAAACAGCCATGAATGGCTAAGTGTAAAAGTAGTTACAGACACTATATATGTTAAAAAAAATTAACTTTATGAATATGTGTTAATAGAAAAGAGCAAGAATACATTTCAGACCTACAATATGGCTTAACCACAACTAATTAAAGCACAACACAACCATCCCTACCACTGAATCAAAAAAGTAAAACATAAGCCAAACCCCCATATTAAGTAGTAGCCCGACACCCAGAAACTGTCTTTCATTACATTAGCACATATTTTTCTACGTATGCCTAGTCTGTGAATATTAAGAAAGTAAATTTACCATAAACTTTCAACTTTCACTGGGTGAAATGGGGCAAGGGGACTATTTTATCTTCACACAAGACATTGGAATTTCCCAGGATTCTAGGTCTTCGTTTTTATATTACATAGTACAAAAAAAGTACCCAAGACTGAAAAAAGCACATTTTCATGAGGGCACATTTATGCCCCAAAGCATTAAGAATTCTAATTCTAAAGGGAATGAGTATCAGTCCTTCAAATAAGTATTTCACATAGAACAGCTGCCATTAAAGCCATAATCCTGTATAACATCATAAATTCAACAAAAGAAACGTTAAGTTTCTTAAATTTAAAAAATGAATTAATAGGCTAATACGAAAGCTAGTATTCAGTAAATGGTGGCAGTAACTATCAGAAACACTGAAAAAAATATGAAATCTGGCTTGGAAAAACATTATGTTATGAAATATTTACTTCAAAAACGCTATTTTGACTGGGCATTTAGCTCAGAGGCATATGCGCCTGCCTGGCAATCAAGAGGTCATTAGTTCCATCCTTGGTACAAAAAATAAATAAGTAAAAACGCTATTTTGTTACTTTCAAAGTCCTGCTTCTTTATTTTCACCACAAATTATATTTCACTCAAGTTATTAGTACAACTAACGCCCATACACTTATATAACATGCATTCAATTTTGAAGGTGGGAAAAAAACAAGATTCTCAAAAGCAATGAAACAGCACATCTAAGTTACAGATTTTACAGAATCATTAATTTTAAGCACACTTTTCTAAGGAAAATGCATCCTTTTCTCAATTCATGCACTCAAGATATGTGAATACATGAAACACTATCAAAGACATCTGAATATATGAAAAGCAAATTACTTCCGAACTTTTCTGTGCCATCACTAAATAAAAACCTCAATAACTGTTTATTTTCAGTACTTTATAACACTGTCTCCCTCTGCTGTCTGAAAAGGGAAAAGATTCAGAGATTACATCATTCATTTCCCATAGTTACAAAAAATGCTTATAGTTTGTTTCTCATGAAATATAAAAGATGGTGGTTTACCAGATACATATTTAAAATACAGGTTACAGAATCACCGCAAGAAAAACAACCCTCCTTTAGAGTGCAGCCAAGTTTTTCAATTAGCAATGTAGAAAAACGGCACTAGCGGCAAAGCGGCACTAGTTTTGGTCGGCAGTGACAAGTTCAAGCATGCCTCAATACAGAGGCAGGATACAGAATCCAGTAATTATGCATTTGAGGAAAGCATTTCAAGTGAGCCTTAGTTTTCTTTCCCCTTGTAAAACTTGGATAAAAACATTCTGTAAACCTTGTAGTTCACAACAAAGGCCAATTTATATTTATTCACTAAACAAATAAGTACCCATTATATGCAATTCACAGGATGACGGTTGCCAAATATAGTAAATGAAAATACAGGATAAAACACACTTATGCTAAGAAATCACTCATTGTTTATATAAAATACATACTTCCTATTTCAAACACTTATCTGAAATAAAATAGTTTAAGTCATGCATCCCCTAATCAAACAAATTTACATTTAAATTACTTCAAATAGATACAGATTAAAAACCTCCTGGTAGAAATACACAAAACTACCAAGCTCGTAATTTCCTAGCTTGTGTCCCTCTCAAATCTAACTAGCACTTTTGTCCTTGCTTACTTAAAACTCTTCTCCATGACATGGCTAGGACTAGTGATAACTGAAATTCTGGTAAAGATTTCTTCCCCTTTCTCACTTTCGGTTATCCCAATCAGTGTCGTTTCAGGTATCTGACTAACAATTTGTCAACTTTATTCTCAGCGATATTCAAATAAATTTTAAAAGGCAAGTCCTTTTTCACTAGATGCAAAAACTACCACTTTACTTTGTACTTCTTCCTCCAACCCTTTGCAGCTGTCCTTTTTGTATTCCTAGCTACCATTCTTAATGGCAGAGGTAGAACCTGATTCTATTTTGTAATAAACTTCACATGTTCTTATAAGTTACACGAAAGAGTTAGTAGCATACTGTTGGAGGACCTGTATTTAAAAAGTTTAATAAATGGAAAAAACTATCTATGTCATTTATTCTCACTAATTCATTACATATCTTAATATAATTTCACCATACAATTTTCCAGTGGCAAGACTTGCAGTGTTCATTTGGCCCCTACCTTTCATTTTACAGGCGCTGAAAATGTGACTAGATTAAATCCACAGGGCAACCAAAAAGTCAAAGCCAAAAATCCGATTTTCTTTCTTTGTTTTTCTTTTTGAGACAAGGTTTTGCTGTGCAGCCCAGGCTGGCCTTGAACTCCCTGCGCTCCTCTGGCCCGAGTGCTGGCATTATGGGAATGCGCCACCACACCAGGCTGTGGAAAGCCCTGTAATTGGCTGCCACCTTACATCTGCAGGCCGTACCACGTTAACTCCCTCTAGGAGTTAAGTTTGGTAGTTAAGCAGCACCTTGCCTAGCTTGTTTGACCTATTCAGAGATTATGCTTATGAGCAAACATTCGGGAAATTTGAAAATTTGAGTTAACTTATGAACCTCAGTCTTTCCACTGTTGCTAAGTTACCTGCTGACGTCTCAGAACCCAACTTCCTCCTCCCGCAATACCCTATATATTTGTTACTCTTTCCTTGAATAAACGAGACTTGATGGGACTTCTGACCTGTCTCCATTCTTCGCGTCTCTTGTCCCCTTTGTCCCCACTCCCCCTCTAGGGTCTCTGTGGACTTACCCACAGGCCGGGACAACAGACGTGGTTTGACTTTCAAATTAACATTTATCTATTTAATTATATTATTTAGACCTAAGCCCCTCTCCATGAGTCAGCACCATTCACACAGACTGCAGGTCCCATGGAAGGAGATCCCCACCCAGATACCTGTGCCATGTGTGGGCCACTGTGGCTTGGGGAAAGCCAGACCCAACCCTCTCCATGAATCAGTGCCATCTGTGGACTGGAGAGGGAAAGAACCAGGCCCCATGGGAGGAGACCCCCACATGAAAACCAGCGCCATGCATGGGCCACGGCCAGCTTGAGGCAAGCCAGACTCAAGCCTCTCTCTGTGAGTCAGTGCCATCTGTGGACTGTGGAGGAAGAGAACCAACCCTAACCCTAACCCCACCATATATACAGGAAGCCATATCATTTTTCACTGTTTTGTTGGGTTGTTTTCATTTTATTTTATGTTAACTCTGATGGAATGAGTATAGCAAGACATGTTATATAGAATATAAATAAATATTATGTACTTATTATTGGCTTGTTTTGATTTTCTTTACTGACTTCATTTTTTTTTAAATCTTTTCTATTCAGTTTGATTTTTAATTATATCTCAAAGTAGTATCTGCGGCTATTTTGAAGACTGTTGTCTTCAAAGCATTGTGGTAACTACTGTTGATTTCATAAGGTTTGGAGTCCTGTATCACTTATTCTGGTTTATTTTGATTGATTTTATTCTGCTTTATTTTCCTTCGCTTTATCCTCTTTAAAATAAAAAATTTTTAAAAATTACACCATTAGCGATATCTTTTGCATGATATTTAAACTATTTTCTATTAATTTAAATTATCCATTAGTCTCTCAGATAAAGTAACCTAAAATCTGATTTAATAAATAATTAAAAAGCAGATTTATCTTTAGAGTAGTCTGTATTTGTAACTGAAGTAGATTAAGATAAGTACTGTTATAGGAAACAGACTACATTGAAAAGTTCTGAGAAGGTATTTTTATCAGTAACAAATCTTAAAAGAGAAGTTGATATTTTTTCTTAGAATCTTGGGAACAAAAATCACTGATTCTCAGTAAGTAAACACTCTCAGTGTTTACTTATCACTTTTAATTTAAAGTACATGCCTTTAAAAGACCTACAAGCTTACTATCACACCAATTATTTCTATATTTTGAAAATATTACTAATTCCTTATGCAACTGCCTTACCTTTGTTGAAAGTACTCTAAATGTGCTCTGTTCTGGTATTATAGGATGAAGCAGTCTCAGTTTCAAATTGTAATCTTCTCCAGAAGAAAGTTTCACCAAAGCAAATAACTAATGAACACAATATTAGTAACATAGCATCACATATTGTAAGTTTACATAGCAAAAGGTAAAACAGTTAAACCGAATAGACAGGACTTCAACAATGCTAGAGATTTCTTTAAACACATTATATACAGTAACAGATTTAGTAACTTCAAAATAATTTTTCTTTTCATGTGGTACCCACCCATCCTTCATGTAAATTCTTAAATACAGAGTTTGACTAAAAGAATGTATACATACTTAAGCAGTTTGCTGCACTAATAAACATCTGGAAGCTAATGACCACCACTTGGAGCAACTCAATTGCAAAGCCCAAAAGTAACGAATTAAATTCATGATGGTCTCAATAAATTTATTATTAAAATATTCATACAAGTTTTTGTTTATGTGATATATACATTTTTGGGGCAGATTCTGTATACAGTTACAAAAGAATATATTTTATAGTATTTACCACATATTTAATTTACATATTTAACATTTAAATCTCAAAACACAACACATAAGAACAAAACAATGTAGCACTATTCAGTGCCATATATGTAATTAAATACCTGTAAGTTTCTGTAAAAAAAATGCTAAGAAATTAAGTCATTAAAATTCAATCTCAATATGGCTAGTAAATTCTAACATGTATAAATCACATAGCAAATAATTAACTTTTTTCTTGATTAAAGTATCCCATCTAAGTGCAACCAAATCATATATCTCACCAATGACAACAGTTATGCTCTGAATTCTAAATCTACAAAAATTGCACATTTAGCCATAACAAGTATATATACTAGTATCTCAAAATTTAAAATAATTCCAATTGAAAAGCAATACTATTCAGCATTTTCCATAGCATCTCTGGAGAAATGGCATATATTTGGTAAACAGATACAGATTATTATGCAATAGTTTGTAAATAACAGCATGTAATCGATACATAAAATAAAAATAATTACCTCTTTTTCTGAAAATTCCACATTTACATCATTCTTCTGAACATTCTTAATCATAAGTGTTATAATTACTTGAGATTCTGTTTGATACCAGTCATACCTATTTTTTTAAAAAAAGAAAACAGCACTTTTAATTTTCTTCAAGCTGTTTCTCAAAATAAAAACTAAACTGAAGCCAGGCACAGTGGTACATCTCTGTAATGCCAGTACTACAGAGGCTGAGAGGTAGGAGGATTGCTACAAGACCAGGCTATATAGCACGTGAAACCCTGTCTCAAAACAACAAAAAAATAAAAAATAGTCTGATAAGAGCTCCACCTTGAGGAACAAAATGGCACAGCAGCTGTTGATTCACAAACAATTTTATTTAACAGATTATGGATATGATCTGTACAAATGTTAGAAAAGTAGGGTGGATGATGCCTAAATCTTTCCACAGGTCTTAAGTATTATATGATTTTTCTATTATGGCTGTGCTCGGGCTACTGATGAAAATTATTTTTACCAGCTATCAATAGCTTTATAGTCTCATTTACAGCTAATGCTAACATGATAAACGCTTCTATCCCTATTTTACAGATGAAAATATACTTAAGCTCAGAAAGGTGACGCAAGCAGTTAATGGGAGAAGTGGTAAATGGACTCAGGTCATCCTAGTCAACACTCCAAGCTCCATATTAAACAGTCTGGAGCACACAGTACAAGCCTTCCACAAAGAAGCCTAAATTAACTTCAAGTTCACCCACTGGCCCAGCTGGAGCATTATATATAATACCTTCCCCTTCAATTTTAAGGTACATGAAATGGCCAGTGTGTCTTCTCATGTGTACTTTGCACACTTAAAGCTCTAAAAATGTAGAAATCTTCATTTTCAAATTAGATTTTAATCTCTTTAAGAGTAGCCCTATTTATCCTGTTACCATATTAATCACAATGCCCGCTACACTAAATCAAATGCTATATTACATTTATGTTCCAAATACCGTGATTGTTTGATGTTTACGGGTCCTATCCTTTCTGTGGCTATTACACAAAATTTAAAGATTTTTATTTACCTGCTACTGGGAATTTCAACCTTCATTTCCCCTGAAACAATTGTTTTAACATTTCTAAGCCACTTTAGGTAATTATGCAAAAAGCACTTTAATTAAAGAAATGTATTTTAAAAGTCTAAAGTCTACAATTCAATGGAGCTGCAAAAATCCAGATCAGTGCATTATGTCTCTTTCTGTTACAGTCAGTCCTAGGAATACAAATTGTACTGTACACACTACTAACAAGTAAGAAAAAGTCAACAATCTGACATGGTAGTACAACCTTGTAAACCCAGCACCTATGAAGCTAAACCAGAACAATTACAAATTTAAGCCCAGCTTGGGCAACTTTGTGATTTGGCAAACTTTGTTGCAAACTAAAAAGAATTTTGAAAGATCTGGGGATGTAGCTTAATGTAAAGACCCTGGGTTCAATCATTCGTACCATCAGGGGGCAGATGAAACAAAAGAATGAAGTCAAAGCCTTGTTAGTTGCTTACTCATGATTGTAACCTCTGCCCTCAACAAAATTAACTTTCAACTTATACAGAACATTCTCATGAAAAATATCTAAATATAAGAGGCAGAAAAGTTACTGTCCGTCAAGTTTGCTAACAATTTAATTGTATCTATGCATAGTAACACCAGTTTTAACTAAAATAAGCTCTAATAAGTTTTAACTAAAATATATAGAAAGGTGACTTAACATGGAACCAGGTTAAGCAACATAAAGATGAGAAGATCTGAATTTATTTGGTATATGTATATTAAAGCTAATCTGTAGGTCCAGCAGCTTTAAAGCTTTTTAAGGCTATAACACAATTAAAAAATACTGAAAAAATCACAGGATAATGGCTTGTTTACTATTTAAACTACTGGTGTTTCCTTTAACCTTCTTTAGGCATATTTATCATACATTCTTATGTGTCAAGAAACACTTACTTGATTTTTGACCGAGTCCTCTGAGATGAAAAATGATTTTGACAAGGTGAAAGAGAAAGATTTTTAGAAGTTAATTTAGCAACCGTATATAAAATGCATGCCATATTAATTTATCCAGTGCTACCATTCTTTTGATATGAAATATTACTAAAACAAGTTCTTCAATGCCAAAGCACGGTACCTACAATCATTAAATAATACTAGTCTTCACAAAAGATCAGAATGTTCACCATTTTGTCATTTAATAGATTCTATTTTTAAAGATTCTTCTTTTAAAAATTTTGTAAACGTATGACTCAAAAGTCAGTTATGTAAAATCTCTAGTCCTAAAATGCAGTAACTCCCTAAACATGACAATACCATTTCTAAAACTCTTTTTATGAAATACCTTTCTAGTTAACAATGATGCAAAACACTGCTCTGGAAACCCATAAAGGAGTATTTCATTGTGACTTCCTATTAACATCCTACTCCATTTATGGCCTCTCTCCAATAGACAATGCCCATCAAGAAAGAAGGTGACTCCTGGCCAATTCATATTTTCCTACACTACATGTACATTGGTTGAGAATATGTAAATTTAAAGAACTTAGCCTCGGTCACTGGTGGCCCCTTAAATTGCCCCTAAATGAGAAGGGAAAAAATGGGGTATGACACAATTATATAAGTAAAACCACTTAGAAGTCTGGCTGAAAATTAATGCTCTATTGTTAAGGATTTAGAAATAGCTGAACCCAGATTGTATTATATCAATATATTCACTAGAACAATTTTATTTCATTTTGGTACTAAGATAAAACCAGACTGAACCAAAGCAGTGATAAAATGTACTAAGCCTACATGTCTTGTGTTAACTGTCTTAAACCTACCATAAAAAGCCCTCTAATCCAGCCTACATTAACTTTTTGGTTATAGATGACTTTTTGGTTTAAAAAAAAAAGAAAAGAATCATCTGGACCATCCTAAAACTAACTCACTTAAATTCATTAGGTCAGTCCATTTATTTCCATGACTATATACTTCTATAATGTTAACCTGTATTAAGGTAAACATTAAGTATTTAATGTTAATTAAGTATTATCACCAAAAGTTAACCTGTATTAAGTAAAATTTAATAGGTAGAGCTCATCCCAAGTCCTGTCTCAAATATATCTGATACATGAAATGTAACATGAGGTAAAAATGTGAAGAATGAAAACTTTAAACTTACAGCCTCCAATTCTGATCCTATAAAACATGAAAAAGAATACATTTCAGATAATAATACACTGACAGATGAAGTCACAAATGTAATTTCTGTGGCAGAAATATAAAGCCAATTCTCTGTATTTTCCAAATAAAAGAAATTAAACTTTGGATCTTTGAGTATTTTAGACTCCTTAGACCTTTATTAGAAGAGCACAACATTACGATAAAGCAATCCAGCCAAATCTCCCTTTTAGTAAAGAAACGAGACAAAAATCAATTTTTTTTTTCTTGGTGCCAGGGATCAAACTCATGACCTTGCACTTGACAGGCAGGTGCTTGTGTCACTGAGTTAAATCCCTGGCCCATAAAAACCAGTATTTTTTGAAATCTACATGTAATATGTATTACCTAAGTTATTACTATATCTTTTTTTTTTTTTTTTTTTTTTTGGTACTGGGGATCAAATTCATGACTTTGCGCTTGCCAGACAAGCACTTTGCTGTTGAGCTAAATCCCCCACCTGTATTACTTAAATTACAAATACTAAAAATTTTGTTTAAAACAAAAAATTTCAACTGTTTCCCTTTTAAACTGAAAGACTATTTAAAACTTACATATCACACTTACCATTCTGTGCTTCCTGACACCTTTTAATCCAGACATTAAAATTATCATCTGCACCTAGAAAGAAAACACTGACTATAACATCACTTATCTGTACAATATAACATACTCAGTCAGTAAATGCTACTGAATACCTAGTACATCCTAGGCAATATTCTAAGTCCTGCAGATTCAGCAGTGAATAAAATAGCTAAACGCACTTGTCCTCATAATATCTATAGTAGGATGGTCAACTATTTAAACACTGAGTACCCAAATTGCAATCTAAAACTCACATTTATCACAAAATGTCAACACTGCAAAAATATTAGATTTGAGTGAAACAGTATAGGACTTAAAATGACAAAAGAACTTGTGTATTTATAGGTTTTCAAACATGTATCAAGGCATTAATTAAATAATAACTGGTTTTTGCTTAGCTGAACAGTCATAATTCATGAACCAATTAAATCTAAATACTGAGGTTTTAGTTTAGGAAAAACAACTCATACACTTGGCTCACAAATCAACAGAGTGTGTTCTGCCTGTAGCAACATGTCACAGGTTCCCCACTACCTTATAGCAATCCTAATACTATAGCTATAAACATTACCAATAGAGGTAACGTTTACTTGTTCATCCTGGAATATCCATTGTGTTTATTAGGTTTAACTGAAGTCTACTTCATTAGTTCCCCAGATATTTACAATCTACATTTCCTTCCACTCCTTTGCTCTTAAAAGAACTTCCTCTCACACAACAAAATCAGACCTGAATGAGATTCCTACAGTGTTCTGGTAGCTAAATTGAAAACAAGAGACATCTCCCAGTCCCTGCTTGCTCTTTAATGCATTTACCCATTCTGTCCATTATTCTCTCAGCGACTCTCTTACCATGCCTTTCCTACCACTATCAAGAAGCATTTTCACATGCACTCTGGAAAGTTTGAACGTATCTCCAAGTTACATGGCAGCGAAGGGCCTATACGTAATTTATTATATATTTACAGATAGCAATATAAATACATAAAAAATTATTTACCTCTGAAGACCCAAAACAATATATAAACAATAACAGTACCTAATAAAATGTTAAGGAAAATATTAAAATATTCTAAATAAAAGCTTACTAATACAAGCTAACTACAGCCAAGATTAATCTGAAAAACAAAAACCAGTTCTTTAAAAGTTGTTACTCTATTAATTTATACTGTTAATTTACAAAAGAAACTAAATTATGTCTATAAAAATTTTAAATATACTCACTATATTTTAATGGGGAACTATTGTATCAAATTTTAGACTTGAATGCACAACCTGTGATCCAAGCAATCAGAAGGCAGGCAGAGGCAGGAAGATCGCTGTAAAATTTGAGGCCAACCTGGACTACATAGTTAGCTCATGGCCAGCCTGAACTACATAGTGAAACCCTGTCTCAAAAAAAGAAAAAACAAAAACGAAAATACTAGATTTGAGTGAAACCATATAGGACTTACAATGACTAAAGAACTTGTGTGTTTATAGGTTTTCAAACATGTATCAAGGCATTAAAGAGTAACCCTGGTTTTTGCTAGCTGAATAGTCATAATTCATGAACAAAAACTGGAATAAGGAAGTTTAATTAAACACTATTGCCCAGATCCCTCCCTCTCCCTCTCTTCCTAATATGTAGTCTTTATATGCATAGGTGGGTCAAACTCTGCTTTAGAGCAGGGTTTCTCAAGTTCAGCACTACTAATCTACTGGTACTGTAGACCAGTTTTTTGGGCTGTTTTAAGAGAGAGTCTTGCTAAATTACCCAGACTGGGCTTGAACTTGGGATTCTCTCACCTCAGGCTCACAGTGCTGGGATTATAGGTTAGGTTTTTTTGTTGTTGTTGTAGGGGACTATCCTGTGCACCACAGGATGTTTACCAGCATTCCTGGTCTCTGTCACTAGATGTCAGGTATCCCCCCAACCACCAATCATGACAATTAAAATCTTTTCAGAAACTGGTAAGTCTCCCTGGAAACAAACTGCTTCCAGTTAAGAAATACTCCTTTCATTAGACACTGTGGCACATTCTTGGAATCTCACTTACTGGGAAGTTAAGGCAGGAGGATTTCAAATTCGAGGCTGTCCTGGGCAACTGGGCAAAACCCTGACTCAAATAACTAAAGGAGGGGCTGGGGATTTAGCTCAGTGGCATAAGCGCCTGCCTTGCAAGCAGGCAGTCGTGAGTTCGATCCCTGGTAGCGATAAAAACGAAAAAGACCAAAAAAAAAGAAAAAGAACTAAAGGAAGTGAGCAAAATGTGGCAGGTGCATGTTTACACCCTAGTACAAAAGAGGGCAGGGAGCAACTGCTTTATAGAGATGTCATAATACTCTGATACAAAATAAAAGTACAATTAGGATTATGTAGTCTATAATTTTCTACGAGCTAATTCACAGCCTGGATTTCTTACTAGTTTGTAGACTGAAAAATTCTTGGCTCTCATAATTTGTGTTTATGTATCTAAACACCCCTAAATTGGGTTTTAATAATGTTCACATATTTCTTTCATAAGACAGTACTCAAAGCTCCATGTTTCTTCTGTACCTTGCAGTTTACTCAAACTTGCACTTCACTTCTCCATATGGGCTTTGAAGCAAGATTTCCCACTTTAGCAATCTGAATAATTTAAAGTGCACAGACTTATAAATAAAACAGAAAATTAAACTTTCCATTAGAAAAACTAAAGCTGGATACAATAGAAAGAGCACAATGAGTATTTATATGATGTTTTTGGCTTCTAGAAGCAGTTTATCTATGATTTAATTACTAAAGACCAAATTCATCAACTTCTAAGTGAATTCAAATTCTGTAATCAACATGAAACATCATTAAAAGAGAAGGAAAAAGATGACAGGTTTCCATGATATTTTTTTTGAAAGACAGGGTCTTGCTATACAGTTCAGGCTGGCCTTGAACTCACTCTGTAGTCCAGGATGGCCTCAACCTTGCAGTGATCCTTCTGCTTCAGCCTCTCAAGTGCTGGGATTACAAGTGTGTATTGCTATGTCCAGCAAGTTTCCACAATTAACTTGAGAATACATGAACAAAATTCAGCTATTCTATTTAAGATAAATAAGATTAGTTTTTTAAAAGTAAAATTCTTATACTTACTCTCTAATTTCTGTCCTTCTGTAAAAGTTTCTAGAGCAGCAGCATAGTTTTTTTCATGGTATTCACATATCCTACATGAACATATTAAAAACAAATTCACACACATGAAAAAGAGCTTAATATTCTCTATTGCTGAATTTATTTTCAGTACATGTTAATGAGACATATTTTCCAAAACACTAATATCTACTATAAAACTCTCATTACAATTCAATTTTGGAACTCATTAAAAGAAATGAATTTCTTTTAATTGTACAAACTTGCTCATTTCAAAGTATAATTATGCAAAAGGATTAATTTCTTATTTAAATAAAATCACACATATCAACATAAACAAGCTGGGTTTCACAAATTTATATAAAACATACAGAATTTTCCTAGCATGAATCGTAGCCTACCCAGGTTGGAGAATGGGATGTTCTCTAGTCAGTTAAACACAATAAATTCAAAATGGTAATAAAAATAGATGTGTAATCTATCTGTTTCATCTGTAACTTGCAATTACTTTAATCATCACTATTTTAAAACATCAACTAGCAGCAGCCATGGGCCTGGAGGAGAAACAACAAGCACTCTTCCTGTAAGCCAGCAGCAGCCACGGGCTGGGAGGAAAAACAGAAGCCAATTTACCCTTCCCCAAGACAGCGGCAGCTGTGGGTCAGGAGGAAAAACAAGAAGCGCCCTTCCTATAACGCAGCAGCAGCCACGGGCCAGGAGGAGAAACAGGAAGCCAATTTGCCCTTATGGTGCACCAGCCAGCATACAGGCTAGAAGACACAAAGAGCCCAGCACCCTGCCCCCAAGGCGACTGGCTGATTCAGAGGAACAGACTGCGTTGACAGCAACTGAGGCACAAAAACAACTTAATGCTTGTTATTGTTTGATTGACTCTGAGGCCTAAAGATGGTAGTCTGAGCATCTATTTAGAGGATAATAATATGCAATATATTAACTACAGCAGATTTTTTTGTCTTGTTTTTGAAATCCAATTATTGCTTTGCTCCATTTTATTGTTTTTTTGTTTTATTCAATGTTTTGCTTTGATCGGTTTCATTCTGTTCTGTTTTGATTTCATTATGTGTGATGATATGGGAAGCAATTCTGAAGACAAGAGGCATTAGGTAGCAACTGTTGATTTCCTATTATCTGTTTTGAAATCCTGTATCACTTTCACTGTTCTGTTTTGATTGGCTTTACCCTGTTTTATTTTGTTTGGTTTTATTCTCTTTAAAATTAAAAAAAAAATCAACAGCATCATCTCATACTTCAGTTAACATACTAACAGAACTACACATTTTATGTAAAATGGAACCAGTTACAAATTGTACGTGCAAGTATAGCATTTTTAAATTTTTTTTTTCGTTTTTTTTTTTTTTTTTTTGTCTTTTTGAAACACAGTCTCACTTTGCAGGTCAAGTTAGTACTGAGCTCACTTTGTACCCAGGCTGCTCTTGAATTTGCAACAATTCTCCTGCCTCAGCCTCCCTAGAGTGCCGCATTACAGGTATGCACCACAACTTGCTTAGCATATGCAAAAAGTATAGCATACACAAAAAGTTTACAATAACTCATTCAAAAAATTTAACATCAGTTATTTGAGTTCAAGCCCAATGAGAACAGCAGTTAGTTACATACCCTTTTCTCATCATAGCAGTGATATTACTGGGGTTGAGTTTGAGAGAAGTTTTTGCATCAGCAGCACCATCTATATAAAAAGATTGCTTCTTTAGGAATTTACATATGTAGCAAACCCTACACATTTAAACCAGTCTTATATTTTTAAGATCCTCATTTGGTAGAAAGGCCAAATGGTTTTAAATAAGAAAAAAACTAATCCAAAATAAAATTCAATTAAGTACTATACCTTCCTTAGGACCTCATATCTAACTTTCTTCTTAAAGTTCTTCTATCAATAAAGCTTTGTGTCATAACTTTCATCTTTTCCCTATTAATATTTATGTAATTTAACTCAAGGTACTAAATTCTTCCCTATCCAAATTCTCAATCAATAATATTTTTTAAAGTTACAAAATATAGAAATACACTTTAATTCAAAATGCAAACAAGAGTATTTTGTTTAACACACTACAAAATAATACACATGATATTTCTTGCTAAAATAATGCATTATTGTGCAATGTGTGTAAATTTCTTACCCACTGAAAAAGAAGACATACCTAACTGTTAAATGGCTGTTACTCAACATGTAAGTGTCATACTAATAACTACTTCATCCTTTTCAAAAGACCAGTTTAAAAATAAAGATAACCTCCGTGTTATTTGACTTCACTTTGTCTAGGGCAAAATTTGAAGTAACTTATAAAGAAAACTTTGTAATAAAAGTTACCACAGTAATTCCCAAGAAGAATGTGACAGTACGCTCTTTGACAATAATATTGTGCATCATCTGGTTCCTGTTCCAAAGCCTTAGTCAGCTCCTACAAATACAAACATGAGTATCAGTGGATGTTTTTAAAGCCATTGAATCTAAAGTATTTAATCAAATAACCTATGATCACAAGCTATTTGGAAAAAAGACAACAAAGAAACAAGTTTGAAGCTTTTCCGTGTGGGAGGATCAGTATCTCCCTTTCTCTTTCCCCTTACTCAAAACCCAAAGAACACACAACAGTTTGTGATCTATAGCAGGAACTCAATAAAAGGTCATTATTATCATGTTATTTATTCTGAGTTGAATTCGTATACATTGACAGTTCACAATTTCACAAATTTGGAGAAGACAAAGATCATGCAAAGTTTGAGATGCCCTTCTTAAAAAGTACAGCTTTTAAAATTTAAAAGCAAAACACAAAATAAGGCGAACCCAAAACAAGATACAATCTTTAGAAGTTAAATCTAGAGTCCAGGAGGTTAAAAGAACCAACAAATACCCAAGCTTACCTGGCCCTTTCCTATTCGCCATCAATAGCAAAATACCCTAACAGATTGTAGCATTCTATTCACAGTCCATATAGAATTGCATAGATAGCTAGTATCACTTGATCAAAAGTCAGCAGTACAATAAAACTTAACACCCTGACCAGTCACAGAATGCAGTTGGTAGCTCCATGACATGGGAAGAAAGTAAAGCCAAGAACAAGTGCAAACAAACAGGAATACTTTCGTTCTCTACTGTAAACACTAGAAATATGGTAATTTTCATAAAAAGTAAAATTATTTCAATAGCCACAACACATTATTGACTTGACTTTAATTTAGTAATGTGTTCCTCACAAAGCAACGTGTACTAGCAAATTACCTAAAACCAAATCACTTTTTACCATCTTTATCTGTTCATCAGATTTTTTTTGTCTGCACAAAATTCTCTAATGCTTGTTCAGCTGACTGAGCAAAACCGCAAACTCTTACAAGCATTCCTCAGTGAGAGATCCCTGTACAGATTTACTCGGACCTCTTCCTGCTCTTTCCTTGGCTGCTCCTTCCAACCAAATGGCCTCTCTGCAGTTTCTCAAACACCTCCGGACTCTGTACCTGTTTCTCTGACTAGAACGCTCTTTGTCTAGATGTGCACAGGCATTTCATTCCCTCCTCCTTAGGGACAAGGCTGCACTAAAGACAGGCTTCAAATCCAGGATGAAAAATGAAAGAAAGAAATAGGGCCAAGGGTTCAACTCAGCGGTGTAAGTGCCTGCTTCGCAAACACAAAGTCATGAGTTTGATCCCCAATACCAAAAAAAAAAAAAAATCCAGGACAGACTCCAAAATAAGTTTCAACCACCAAACACTGCTACCTTCTAGTTATTTACTTATTTTTTTTTTTTTGCTCCATGTTTATCTATCTGAGAACTGTATTCATGTTTCCTAATATTTTGATATTTCTAAGTTAACAAAACCTTGGGCCAAATTCAACAATTTTGGGAACAGCAGATAGCTTCTTCCTTATCTACTCAAAAAAACCTTTAAATCAACTTCCAGTTACATTTAAGAAAAAAAAGCATATTATGGTTCAAAATGCTGTTTTATCTGGATCTTGAATTTTAAGAAGTGCTTCGAAGGAACATTATGTAATTGACATACGTTAAACACTCTTTAAATACGTCCAAAGATAGATATACTTGCAGAAAACTCATTATGTAGGCTGGGAATGTAGCCCAGTGGTTGCCTAGCATGTGCAAAACTCTAGGTTCTATTCTCAGCACTGCCAAAAAACAACAAAAACAAAACAAAACAAAAAAATCAAAAGAAGTAGCAATTTTGCTACAAGTTAGCAATTCACAGTTCTCAAATATAAAGATACCCAGTATACTGTAAAATACAGTGATACCATGATTCATGAACTGAATTCTTTTCATAATTCTGATGGTTCAAATTCTGTAACAGAATCGTGGAAAGACCCACTTGACAGTTTATTCCTAGCATCACTTGGGCAGTGTGTTTCTTTATAGACTGATTATCCTGATTCAACCAGCTGATTCTTGTATTCAATAAATTTGGTAAAATTGTTATTTTTATATTTCCTGTTATAAGAATCAAAAATATGCAATTTTTGGTCAACCTTATTTAAATAATTAGATGGGTTAAGTAGTTAAGTTCATAAACCAGAGCACCACTATACAACAGCAATGTAATTCAATGATTGTAAAGTAACTCCCCTGACAACCCAGAACACAAAGGGAAAGAAAAATGCCATTTTTAAGGCATTAAAAGTAAGAACTAGGAGTTGATGATATAGCTCAGTGGTAGACAGCCTGGTTAGCATTCATGAGTCCCTAGATATAATCTCAAGCACCAAAAAAATAAAAACAAGAACTGGATCTTGGCAAATTTTCAAATATTTAGTTTTAAGCTTTTTTATAATGCCACATAGCCAGGCACCATGGCACACAGCCAGTAATCCCAGGAACAGTGAGACTAAGATAAAAGGATCACAAGTTCAAGGACAGCCTGGACAATTTAGCAAGACCCAGTCTCAACAAGGGGTTGGGATACCACTCAGTTCTAGCGTGCCCTAGGTTCCATCTCCAGTACCAAAGAGAGGGGGTGGAGAAGGCACTCAACAGGAAAACTTGTTGAAGTTAGAAGTAAAAGCACTGCTCATTCTGGAAACCTTTATCTCCAAATCATCTCTTAATCTGATACTCCTTTACATTTTCTTCCAGTTACTTAACTAATTTCCAATTAGGCAAGAATAGCAATTACTCTGCTTTAAACTAGTTACCACCACTGGAGGGAAGAAACCCAACATAAAGCATGTAAAACTGGAAACATTCATTATACAATCACCAATCTCTGCTGTGCCTTCAGCAAAATTATCTCTGGTCAGCTATTTCAAAGTCAGTCAGCTCCCGAACTGTTAATGATATCATATATCCCCAATCCTCCTCTCTCCAGCAGATGAATCTGATCCCTTGAAACCAGACACTTGCCACTTCCAAAGGGTACTGCTTTGAGTGAGTAAACTAATTTAGCCTCAGCTTCCTGATTAATGAAATGCAAACAGTACACATCACAGCTGCTACAAAATGAATTAGCAGGACCTGGTAATGAGCTGAAAACGCCGGGTAAGAGAAATCAAAAATAACTCCGGAGTCTAAGGGTAACGTAGACCTATAAAGAGCATCTCATAAACATACAATGAAAATTACTGATCGTTCTCTTTAAAACTTCTCTTTCTCATACTTTCTTTTTCTTGATAGCCTTTGCCTTCATAGTCTTAATCTTCTCAAAATCACTAGCAACTCCTTTATCAAATTCTGACTTGATCATTCTGTGACCTGTGACAATACTGATCACAAGATTCAGTCTACTATTCTACTAGTCTTTTATAACTAGCATTTATATAACTGCTATTTATTTAGACTTTACTCCTTAGATTGTCTGACTTCTTGAGTGTCCAGATCCTCCTATCCAAGTTTCTTGAATGTAGCCAGTACTCTTAAGCAGGATCCTCATACAGCCAGTTCTCTACAGAGGTCACCTGAAATGTCTGTTGCCCACTCTGAATGAGATGTAAGTCCTACATAGCGAGTGGTACCCACTTCTGTTACATTCTTCAATCCAGTAACACAGGCATCATCCTGTACCTTAAAACTGTCACAAAGGCTAGTGCATTTTACATAAAATAAGTCCCTTTGAGGCCCTCAATCACTGACCTAAATTCCAACATTTACCCTTTACCTGGTCAGTATCCCTACATTCCTGTTATTCCACTGTCCCTCATGTCACCTCTCATCTATTTACTCTGCTTTTAGAGCAGGCATTGTAATTCAGGTAATGCCATTTCCTTCAAATTCTTCAGAGATGTGCATGACGGTGATAAAACTAAAAGTCCTCAGTGGGAATTTACTGTTATTTAGGGTCTGGGCTTTCTACCGTGTCACCTTTATTTCCTAGTACTTGCCTCTACATTCTATGTTCTAAAACTACCGAACGCGTCCCCACAACAGAGCCATCATGGAGTCCTTACCCTATCTCAGGCATGCACTAAACACGTGAGAGTGTCTTAGTTATCTTCATAGTAACTCTTTCGAGTAGGTCTCAAACGCAAAATTTGTTCTACTGTGATGAAATCTGGACCTTAAAACTTCTGGTTGAGTCCTTAACCACCACGCATACAGGGTCTCAAAAGACTCTCAAAATCTACTTTTTCCTCTCCCTATTGAAATGCAATCTCCTCTTTAAAGATTTTTTTTGTTTAAATATATCTTAACTAAAACAGTAATTGTACATATTTATGGAGTGTACTATAACATCTCAATAAATGTACAGTATATAATGTAAAATGATCAGATCAAGGGTACTGGCGTATGTGCCTCAGAGATACATCATTCATTGTTGGGAAAATTCAAAATCTTCTCTACCAGCTATTCTGAAATAAACAATTAATTACTGTCAACTATAGTTACACTACCACTTTCAACATTCAAAGTTATTACTCTTACCCACTGTAATCATTTCATGTTAATATTCCTGGTGTCTAACTCAGCATTCAACACTACTGAACCATTTGAATGAAAAATGTGAAAATGTCCATGGTCATCTTCCCCCATTCCTAATTGGATTGTCTTATATAAATAAAATGTATTAGGGGAGTACCAGGAGTCGAACTCAGGGCCCCGCACTTGCCAGGCGGGCACTGTGCTGCTGAGCCAACTCCTCAGCAATAAAATACATTTAAACTAATGTTCTATCAAGTGACCTGAATTCCAAAATGGTTACTATTAAAGTAGCCATTAGGAAAACTTTTGACCCACTTTATTAGATTTCTAGTCTTACTTATCATTAGCACTGTTTATCGCAAGGTTTAGAGAAAACATTCTAGTTGGTTAGATCAACCCCTCCACTATCAATCTCTGATTCTAGGTCTGTGAAGAGCACAGAGAACACAAATTTCTAACTGTGACCACAATTTTGAGAACCACTACTCCACAGCACTAGACTAAAAAGAGAGGTGTACTCTGAGACCCCCATTCTGCCTCTAAATGGCCGCACATCACAGTGACGGATCTTTTGAGTTTGTGTCTCAATTTTCTTCTGTATACTGTAAAAAGAATAAGTGCCAGACTATATGAATTGTAAGAATTTTCAGCAAGAATCTACATGGTGACACTGATTATGCTGGTTCAAAAGCCACAAACTAAGAACCAAGACTACAGGCCTACTCTATGCAAGTTTGAAGCAATACACAATAAAATAAAAAACAACAACAACAACAAAAAAAGGAATCTGTTGTCCACCAAAATACATGTGCAGGGGAATTCGCACTGGCTTTATTCATACTTATTAATAATGAAAAATAATCCAAATGCCCATTGCTTTAAAAAATGGTGCTATATATAACAAAATAATACACAATGAAGAACTTATTTCACACAATATGGGTGTATATACATGTAATGATTAAGGCAAAACTACAACATATACACAAAACAAAGCACCAACTTTACTTTTCTGTGTTGAGTACAAGAGCAAGCAAAACTAACCAATGGTGACAGACATCAACTGGAGTCAATTAGAACCTTAGGGATGGAGATGTTCTGTATCTTGACTGGGTGACATACATGTGTAAAAAATCATCAAATTTTGTTTTAAAATATGTTTACATGTCATACCATAATAAAAATTTTTTAAAGTAATTCAGAAGTAAACTAGATTTCCAAAAAAATCAATGGGTCTGAATGTACCTTAAGAAAGATAAGCCAGGCCATCAAGAAATCAACTAATAACAAATGTTGGCAGGGCTGTGGGGAAAAAGGAATGCTTCTCCACAGTTGGTGGGAGTGCAGACTGGTACAACCACTGTGGAAATCAATGTGGAGATTCTTCCAACTAGTAGGATTAGAGGTCCCATTCAATCTAGCTATTCTCCTTCTGGGTATTTTCCCAGAAGAATTGAAAACATCATGCCACAGTGATATATGTGCACCCGTATTTATAGCAGCACAGTTTGTAATAGCTAAAACTTGGAAACAACCCAAATGCCTATCAACTGCAGAATGAGTAAAAAAGATATGTATTTTTATACAACAGAGTATTACTCAGCTATGAAGAATAAACTCAAGGCTTTTATAAGTAAATGGAAGCAACATGAAACCATACTCATAACTGAAATAAATCAAACTCACATCTGTAAATATCATATTGTCTCCCTCATATTAAAAAAACAAAAACAAAAAAACCTGAAAGAGTAGTAAGGTCCAAAATACACAGTAGATATTGTGAAAATGAAAGAAAGTGCTCAAAAGGAAAAAAACAACTGGGTTAGGGGAAAGGAGAAAAGGAAGAAAGGAAAAGACTGTATGTATGTGGATATATATATATATATATATATATATGTGGGCATACATCTACAAATATATACACACACAAGATAGATAACTATACTACTAATCTCAATAAGGTCATCAAAAAGAACAGCCTGTGCTTTCATTGTTTGATCATTTTTTCATGCCGAAATCTTGTAACCTGAACAACTTCATCTAAGATAATGATACGCAACACATTAACTAGTGTTAATTTCTTGCTTAAAAATTCTGTATCAGTTCTACCTTTTATTTTGTTTTTAAAACAAAAGAAAAAGAAAAAAGAAAATTAAGCCGGGTAGATCAGCAAATTGGGAGGCCAGACTGGGCTACAATAGTGAGTTCAAGGTCAGTCTAAACTACACAGAGAGACCTTGTCCCCCCCCCACCCAAAAAAAAACAACACCAAACCCCAAACCAAACCAAACCAAGTTAATAGCTGTCTGGCTAGGAACTGTAAAGAGAAACTGTCAGATTCCCCTACGTTATTCCAGTGCTGATCCCAGAAACCTTGACCACCTTATTTGAGCCTCTGGTTTCCTGTTCAACCTTACTTCCCACTCTACTTTCAAGCCACTCGAATCACAAGATCCTTTTGGCAACTCCTACTACAACTTCATTCCAACCTCAGGACCTTTGTTACTGACTCTTTTTACTGCCTCCATTGCTCTTTATCCAACGCTTCCAATGTAGTGCTCTCATTCTTTCAGGTCTCCATTGCAATCAACGTTCCAATCAAAAGTGACGCAAATTTCTTCTGTAAGTCACACCTAGAAAAAACACTTTGTTGCCTCAAACTGCTAGCCTTCCTCATGTCAGATCATAAGACAGCAGAGTTATGGCATGTTAGATCATAACAATGAAGCACTTTTCTGCAAGATGCTCATGGCTAAATTCTGAAATTCGTAACACCATCTACAGCATCTGGATAGCTTGGGCTGCATTTTAGTTATTACTGAAGTCTTGATATTTTACATTCCTTCACAGCTTTAGTTTCTGTCAAGCACAAAAATACAAAGTGCTTTCTAAGTTTATTAAGTGTATTAGTGACTTTAACTGGTGGCAAGGAACACCTTGCACACAATTCCAAAAAACGTTTGACTACTAAATGAATGACTAATGAAGTGATAGGACATCTGCAAAGTCTCTGAGTACCCTAAAAGTTTTCGTTCTAGTAGATTGTGCCTAGTATTTAAAAAGGGCAAAAATAAATGAAAAAATGAATTAGTATCACTAAGTCCTAATTTTCTTTTTTTTTTTTTCTTCATTTTTAAGGTCTTGCAGGCCAAGGATGGACTCCAACTACGTCCCCAAGGAAAAACACGAGGTAGGTTTTCTCAGTAACTGAGGAGATGCAGGAGCTGGGAGGTGAAATAGCAAGAGTAACAAGGATCTGAGAGGCAAAAGGGTCACTGTAAAGCATAGAAAGAAGAGCATGGATATCAATACTGGGGCCGAGACACTGAGTACAGCAGCTTCGGATCCACGAAAAAAATGGTGGGAACCAGCATTTTCAACCAGAACCGGACTCAGTTCTGCTCCCCTATGACGGTGGAGAAAGTATAAATGGGCTTTCTCACCTCTAACGCCGCCTGGGGGTCCTCATCGATCAGATTATCTGAGAAGCTCTGGAAAAGCCTGCCAGGAAAAACAACGAGTTCAGCAGGCTCATTAACCAAAGTAAGAAGATAAAATGAACAGCAAAGGAAAGGAAAACACGCACCGTTGGGCTGTTGCAGGTCCCGCTGCAGCCGCCGCCATGCCTAAAACACTGTTGCGGTGGCCCGAGACACAGCCACCGCGGTTACCAGCTCCGCCGCCGCCCAGGGGGAAACTTCTGGAGAAACACCAAGCGAGCTTCCGTCCTAAACAGCCAACGAGTGGGCACGCAGCGTGCGGCTGGGGGAGGAGAGGCGACCAGTCGCCGCGGGGCCTGCTGGGAAGACGGAGGACTGGTTCTCTTCTTTAGCCGCTGGTCCCGCCCCTAGCCGTGGTTCCCGAGGCCTGTGATTTGTACATTCCGTCTCTTTCCCTGCGCCCCTCCCCCCACGCAAGCAATCTAACATAGCCTGGAGAGGTAGCGTCTCAACACCATTTAGGTAACGTTTTTATTCCTCAGGAAGCGGTGGTTAGGGACGTATGTAAGGCTGTTGATAGGCCACACAGAGCTCCATTTTCACTGGGCTATATCATGGCTGCCGCAGGGAGCCCCCGCCCTCTTGACGCGTAACGTCTTACGTAGCTGCGTGGGCTTTTCCGGAAGCGTAGTCGCGGATGGCGCATAGGTTTCCCGCGATTGGAAAATCGTAAACGGCTGGGACTTGCGGCAAGTGTTTTACCCTAGCGAAAACCAGAAAGTAAAGATGCTTATGGTTCCCGCGGGCTCGTGTCTTATTAATGTTTGATCCATTTTCCAGAGTAAGCTTTCTTTATAGTCGACTTCGCAGAACAAGAGGAAAAACATATCCAAAGGCACAGAGGGAAGGAGCTAGCCTAAAATTTTCCCAGCTTTTCAATTTATTCAGTCAGGCTCTGCCAACACTGCCGTTTGACCCTAGCTGATTTAAACAGGCTTCCTCCAGCAGGCAAGTACCCTAAGGGGGGTAAAATGGGGAGATGGAAAGAATGAGAGGTTCAGTGGATGTGGGCAAGTCTGAACTAGATTGTCTACTACATCCAAACTCTATAGTAGTTTAGGATTCAAAGCTGTTAATGCCCTCAAGCTGTTTAAACCAGTTCTAAGTGTAAGATGAAAGAAGGAGCCCAAACAATAACGAAGCGCACTTTATGGGGACCTCTAGAATATAGGCTTAAGGTACTTCCAAGAGTCCCCAGCAGAGTCTAGGACACGTTAACTGAAAAGCAGTAAACGCAAGCTTCTGGTTTTTTATTTTTGTGCTGGGGATCGAACTCATCACCTCACACTTGCCAGGCAGGCACTCAGGCCGCTGAGCTGAATCCTTGGCCAAACACAACTATTTTTAAATTTTCTTACTAATTTAAACGTTCTTTCATGGTCTAGATGAGTCATTGTCAGCTGCACTTAGTCCAGATAGCTTCTCCCAGTTGCCTTTTTTAAGTCTTTTGGTTAATACAAGTTTTAAGTCTTTCATAATAAGTGCTTATTTGTCATATAAGGCTGTGCTTGCTTCAAGCCTGAGAATAATTGCTTCTAGATGTTTTATTTTTTTACACTCCACATTTAAACCTGTTACCTCAATTTTTGCTAAAAATACAAAAATGCATTTTTCTCCCCCATACCCATATTATTTAGTCATGGATATACGAATGACCCAGCTCTATAACTGAAAAGATTTTCATTTCCCCTACTAAATTCTGGGCACCTTTGTCACATGCAATATTTAAGGCACCATCTTGGGATCTGAACTACCAGATCTACCAACATCTTGATACTGGACATAGCAGCCTCCAAAGTTATAAAGTATTTTAATTTCTGTTCACTATAAATTACACAATCTTACGTATTTTGTTACAGACCCACAAAGACTCTATATATGCATTGCTACTTATGTAGTGAAAAACGAATATTAATCTAATTTTAAAGGTTTTATTAACTACAGTATGTTAATGAGCAGCTTTTTAAATAATTTAGAAAAATGTTAGACATGAGACAATAAGTGAAAATCATTGCTAGGTATAAAGGTATAAATTACAGATTTTCTTACAATTTTTGTTTTCCAAGTTCAGCAGTTAACTGATCAAGTGGCTTATTAGAAAACTTGTTTTAAAAATGCATTTATTATTTCTGAGCAAATTTTCTTGCTTCCTAATTTGGGGTGTTTGGTTTTGATTTGTCCTGAAACATATTGAAATTTAATTGCTACTTGTATTGGTCAGCTTAGTGTTGCTGGAACAAAAATATCTGCTACCCACAACTTGAAGAGTAGTTTTATTCGGTTTATGGTTTCAGAGGCTTGATCCTACCTTCAGCAGTCTCCAGTGCACAAACAGCACGGCAGAAAGGCATGGGAAAGGAGAATGAGAGCGCCGGAGAGGGAGGAGACACGAATAATAGCCTTCCCCCCACCCCCACCCCCAGTGACCCACCCTCTTCCAACCAGTCCCTACATCCTGATAGCACTTTAACTCTTCAGTAAATTAACCCACTCAATTTCCAAAAGCCCCACATCCAAACATAGGAGCATTCTGGGGGACTGTTAGGGGTTTGTATCTAGATGTCCCCCAAAAGCCTTGTGCAGTCAGAGGTGGGACTTCTCAGAGGTGGCTAAATTTAGGATGTGTGATACTGGGATCAAGGATCTAATGCTGGCATTGAGTCATGATGCAGTGGTAGGATAAGATGGTCCCATCCTCGGTGTGAGTGCTACCCACCCCAAGGGTAGGTAACCTGAATAAGATACAAGAGGCAGAAAGAGGGTCACCTTCTGCCTGCCATGGACTGTTTTTGCTCTGTGATGCCCCTCTGCTATGCCAGCCTGCATTGGAGCCAGCCAACTCTGAACTAAAACCACTACAAATTGTGAACCAAATAAACCTGCTCTAACTTGGGGTGTTGGGTATTTTGTCTCAGTGAGAAGCTAAGACAGGGACAAATCAAACCATAACAGTTTTAACTGTTATGAGCCAGGACTCTTAAGAGGTGATTAGATAATGAAGGATCTGTCCTCCCGAGTGGATTATTTCCATTATGTCAGAATTAGATTTGCTAAAAAGTAAGCCTCTGTTGCTCCTTCTGCTTTCTGCCATGACACAGCAAAAATATGCCCAAAAGATGCCAGTACTGTAACTGGCCTTCCCATCCTCCAAAACTATGACAAATTTCTTTATAATTTACATATTCTGTGGTACTGTTATAAAAGCAGAAAACAGACTCATTGGTTATCCATTTTGTGATGTCTTGACACAACCAGATGGAATGCTAAAAAGGAAAAGCAAGAGGATGACATCCTGCAATTCTGACTAATGGAGTTTGTTATAGAAACATTTAATAACACTGAAAATATTAGCAACATTCTCTTGACACTTGTACTTTAAAAAATGTTTGCCTGAAAACAGAATTTTTACATGATTTATTTAATAATAAACCAATTAAAGATACAAAAACATTTAGAGAATTCCAAAATTTAAATTTTTGTTTAAATACAAATTCACTTTGTAATATGAAAACATAACATTAGACCTCTAAACATAATTTTTTTCATTTACAAAAATTTTTCTGTTATACTAGAAAATTTGCAGAAAAGAATTGTGACAAATGTACATTATTTACAGCTGAAAAAGTAATCTAAAAACTATTTTATTTCAGAAACTCAGATATATATGTTATCTTTGTATGCAACTTCCCTCCCCCCTACCCTCAATGAAAAATGATCCAAAATATAAAGCAATTACACTCTTACAACTGACTACACTCAATCAGATTAGTCTGAGACTCAAGTTGTTTTCTTGGCCATTATGAGCCTTGACTCTTAACATATATCATTTAGCACTCAATAACCTAAGTTTACTATTGAAACATAGTTCAGTGGTCTAAAGAGTTAATAAAGAACTTAGGAAAAATTTATGGCAGATCTTTCTGAAAACAGAATGAAGTTTGTGGGGGGGTGTCACTTATTTTTCTGTAATATCTTAGCTATATTTACATTAGAAAACAACTTGATACTGTTATATTTGTCATAATTTTAAAACATATATATTAGAATCTGAAAATTCAGAACTAGATGGAAAATTGGTAATCATTTAGTCCAATGCATCCTTTCCTTTTTTGAGATGGCCCCAAAAAATCAAGTGACTTGTCCAAGATTACACAGCTAGTTAGAAGGAGAGCCACTTTGAAGCTTACACTTTCATATTATCCTGCTTCTGAAACAAGACAGCCACATATCATAGGCATAACGCAATTTTTAATATTTTATGTATTCACAGTTTTGTTGAAGAGTGCAGCCAAATAAATTCAATCTCAGTAACATAATTTTAACATAAAAATAAGTTTCTGGCATTTGATAAGAGTCAAGACTTAAACAAGTGGAATGCAAATACTTCCTACACAGAACTCCTGTCACCTTATATTTATTGTATTTACAAAAATATGAGAAAAGCTAATACAATGTAAAATTAGAAAAAAAACTTTAAAAATGCTTACTATATAGCAACTGAAGAAAAATTCAAAAGACTGGATTCATAGTATAAAATGCCAGTTCCTTCACAATTGTACTCTGAAACATCTAGGGTATAAAGAGAAAACTTGGGCTTTCCTCTCTCAAATAATAAAGCCACAATTAACTCAATTATTTTTTATAATTACAAAATTAGGAGCCTCTGTGGATTTATCTTAGTTTGAAGACAACTGAAAATTAGTCCAATTTAAAAAATCAGCTGCAATTCCTTTGGTATTACTTAAAAAGAGTTTGGCTCCAGCACTTCGTTTTGCTTCACAGCTACCTGAGAGGTAAATCCACTGGTACTGGAGACCACCATCACATAAGGTTGTGCTGGTTGTTCAGTTTTCTCAATGTCTTCTTTCAAATGATCTTCAACCTCCTTTTTCTCAGCTTCTTGTGTAAGAGTTTTTGTTTCTTGAGCTTTGATAACTGAAGTGATTACAGTGCCAGGTGGGTGAGCAACCAGCTGTGAACTTCGCGGAGAAAAAGTCACCACAGGAGTAGTAGCACTGAAGGACGGGGATGAAGTCATGCTGACGGTTCCATTACAAATGGACTGGACATTGCTAGTAAGGACCTGCTGTACCTGGGTAGGGCTAAAGACAATTGAAGAGGAGCCTGGCTTCTGTGACTGTAGCATGACATTTTCTTTCAGTACTGTCATGGGCTGTGATGATGGAATGGCTTGCAGAATAAATTTCTGAGACGCAGCACCTGCTGATGGATCTGTGCTGGCTATAACCGTTGTAAATGGCACTGTCTGGAGTGTTACCGTATGCAACTGCTGACTCCCAGGAGACACGACCACTGGAACTTGGGCTGGCGCCTGTATAGTCCTATTGAGATTACCAAATAACAGTGAGACAATTAGCATATTCTACATCACTTAAAACCTTAAGTGTTTCCCTGAACTCAATCTCTTCTAGCTCCTTCCTTCAAAAAAGCTATTAATATCTTCTTGTGGGTCATTCTAACAAAATTAAGTCTTAGCATTTGCAGGTCATTCTAACAAAATTAAGTCTTAGCATTTCAAATGCTAATTCTCACTTTTTTGGGGGGGGGGGAGAATTAGCATTTCAAATGCTAATTCTCACTTTTTCCTTTTTATCAGTACCGGGGATGAACTCACAACTACCTGCTTGCAAGGCAGGCACTTATGCCGCTGAGCTAAATCCCCAGCCCCTGTTCTCACATTTTTAACATAGCACAACAATCAGCATGTCAGACCTTGTATGAAATGTTATACATACATACTTGCCAAACACAAAACGCTCAGGCCAACCAGGCATGGTGGTCTCTGTCTGTAATCCCAGCCCTGAGAGAGGCTTAGATGGATGACAAGTTCAAGTGGGGCAACCTGAGTTAGCAGAACCCTGTCTTAAAATAAAAAGCGCTAAGGATTGTAGTTCAATATGAAGGCCATGGACAAAAAAAAAAAACAAAAAAAAAAAAACCTTGGCCATTAACTATGATAGCATCTAATGAGTGCTTTGAAAAAGTGGCCTGTGTATATTGCCACAGTAATACAAGTAAGAACCAGTTTTCATGGGAAAAGATGACACCAAAATGCTTAGCCCGGGCTAGGCATGAGAGCACACACCTGTAATTCTAACTACTCAGGAGGCTGAGGCAAGGGGACCCCACAGCCTGGCATCCTAGCAATTTAGCAACTTTTGCTTCAAAATAAGAAAAAAGGGAATAGTGATCTAACACATACTCTTGGTTTAATCCTCAGTATGAAAGAAAAAAAAGAAAAAGGAGAGAAGAAGGAAGGAAAAGAAGGATGGAGGGAAACAAAGTTTAGCAAGAAGTTACCACAATCTGCTTGGAAGAAAATTAGGAATTTAAAAGTAAATCTATTTAATATGAACAATTACAAAACTTCATATAATTTGCTCCATTATATGAAGTTTAATTCATTCAATTTAACATATAAAGAAAAAATAAGTATAAACAAAACAACCCTGTCTTAAACATATATCACAGAATTCTTAGAATTTTAATAGGTCATATTTACCTAAACAAGTCATAATTATAACTACTAAGGATTCTTAGGCTGCCAGAGAGTAGTAAGCAAGGTAAAACTTTGCTAAAACTAAAAGAGAAGTGTAAACTGTTATTTAGCTGCAAATAATTTTCACAAATTTCAGTTATAAAGCTACAATTTAAGCCAGGCTGGATGGTGAAGGATTATATAGCTCAGTGCAAAGGCCCTAGGTTCAATACCGCCAAAAAAATTAACTGCAGCAATGTAACAAAAATCCTTTAAAATCTAATTCTGTTAATCTCATTATTGAAGAAAATGGTCAGTCAATCTAATTTTAAAAGCTGAAACCTGTGAACTTTATAGTTCGGGCCACTGCTAGAACTATAAAACAGTCGAAAAACATCGAAAAATCATCATCTAGACTTCAGCTGCTTTTTATGAATTATTTTATGAAAGCTATTTGAATTTTACTTCAAATATCTAACTACTAGATTAATTCCCATAACTCAAAGGTTTTTAAAAGATAAATTTTAGTATTACAATTATCTGTCCTGTCACATATTTGCAAAAGAAAATTGTAAAGGAAGAGATAAATGGACTAGGTGGCAATACAAAACCAAAGACCAATGCAACTCCGAAGTTCGGGAAAATACAAACTGACTAGTGCTTACCCACTGGAATATTACTTCCTAAGTTCAGAATGCCACCAAATCACCACTGTGAGCAACCCACAAGAAGATATTAATAGCTTTTTTGAAGGAAGGAGCTAGAAGAGATTGAGTTGGGGGAAAATATTTTAGTAAGTGAGCAGGGTATTGCTGAGAATGAAGGCCAGGGATAAATTAGTATTAAGGAGGGACAGATGACTAGGGATAATCATTCCAAAAAAATCATTTTGGAAATCAGGGAGCATTTCCAGAACACACTATGCTTCCCTTCTTCTCCTTCCATCATAACTGAGGTATTCTGGGTTGAATAAGAACCTGAGTATAATATGTAACATACAGGCAAGTAACATTTTTTAAATAAGGCTTAAGGGCTTTCCATGCTAAGAGTTTACACATGTCTATATAATAGATAAAATAGTACTTGGTATATAGTTAGCACACAGATTGTATGTACGTACATCCCCATACATGTATGTATTATATACATATATAGATTTAATATTCTTACCACCTTGTAAATACTGTTCTTCCATATTTTACATGTAAAGCCACAAACAACTTGCATGTTTTAATAAGAGACCAGTTAGATAAGAAAAGAGGCTGACTGCAAAGCCAGAGACTAGACCATTTCAACATACTTGTACCTTTTAAATCCAAGTTAACTTCAGTTGAAAATAAATTACTATGATATCCTTAAACTAAAAAACTCTTTATAGGGCTGAGAACTGAATGTTGGGTCACATGCACACTAGGTAAGTGCTCTGCCTCTGAGCCATGCCCCTCTTCAATACACACCTTTCCCATTCTGTTCTTTAAATTACGACACAAATATAACATGGAATGTTTTCATATTGCTAACTGGGGTTACCACTAAGGCTTTCAATACTTTTGTTCAAATTTTTAAACATAACCTTTTCTTGAGAAACAAAATTGTGTTTAAAATATGCTTATCTACAGTATCAACTTTGTAAGTATACTGGCCTATTTGAACAAACTCTAAAACAGTCTTCACTAATACAAATTCAGAGATAGAAGAACAAAAATATGAAATCCTTCCCCAAAGACACGAATTTTTAATTATTTTTTCTTACTGATGCACTTCTCTCCTGTTACAGCACAGGTTATGTTTTAACTACTTTTTGGGGACAATGTTTTGCTACATAGTTCAGGCTAGCCTTGAATTCACTTTGTAACCCAGGCTGGCCTGAAATCACAGTGATCCTCCTGCCTCACTCTTAAGAGTATTAGGATCACAAGCCCGCTAAAATACTTTTTAAAATGTTTCTAATTGTAAATTACTACAATATCCATAATTTATAATTCATCTAAAGTTTTGAGGCTCAGAGAGATAAATGATGTAACATTTAGCTTCTGTTAAAGATCTAGTTCAGTATGTCATTTATAAGGTTAAGTATTATGATCTTAATTTTATAGATGAGGAAATATACTCAGAATAGTTTTGATTCATTTTCATATTTAATAAAGGTTATGCCTATACTATTCCTAACTCTATTAAATTGCATTTAAAACTTATACATTATACATTTTTAGAGGATAATTTATTTTAAAAATCCTAAAACCATTAGTGTTTCTATAAATACTAGAGAAAAAGAAGTTATGCTTTGTAGATGGACTTCCAAGTTTACTATGGACCAATTTTCAGAAACTATTTTACCATCTTTATTTTGTTGCAGTTTCTTTGGTTAACATGAAGCCAGAGTCAAATTTCAACTTGCAGAAAGAAAAAAAAAAAAACTAACTGATTATAAATACTGTAAGTCAATTTAAGAAGTCTGATTCAACCTAGGTACATGCTATTTATGAGATGAAATGAATAAAAAAAAACGTTGAATGCTGCTGTCTTCCTTCAAATATCTGATAATTCATGTGTAAATTAGTAGGTTTACTTCTGCCATGTGATATATGTGATCAAGTTCCTTCCTTTCCCTTTGCTTCAGTTTCCTCCTCTATAGAACAGGCACATTACCTTTTCCTCACTGAATTGTGAAGTTCTATACATCTCTATATATAAAGTATATGAAATACAAAACATACAGACTACAGCTGTCATTGCTACAATAATTTAATAATTTAATCTGGGAAGCTGAGGCAAGGTCATAAGTTAGAGGCTAGCATGGGCAAATTAGGGAGACCCTGTCTCAAAAAAAAAAAAAAAAAAAAGTACTGCAGCACAGTGTGTGTGTATGTCTATGTAAGGATCTAATTTTAAGTTATGTATACTCTTTCTCGCAACCAGGAGGAAAATACCTTTTAAAGGCTTCTGACTTTATTAGTAAGTCATAAATCAAGAAAGATATAACCAAACCACTGTTGATTTTCACAGGAGTAATATTATTAATGTCTATTCTTGTAAGTTAAAATATTTAGAAGTAAAATGTCATGAAGACTGTCAGCTTATTTGACAAATAGTCAAAAAGAAATAAGTATAAACTAGTATACAGAGAAAACAAGGTAAAAATGCTACCAATATTTTTAATCTAAGTGTTCCTTATACTTAACTTCCCCACATTTTGAACTTTTTCAAAATAAAAAGTTAACTATACTTACCTGTTTTGTTGTTGTTTGTTGTGTTTTGTTTTGTAGATTCAACTCAGGACCTTGCACTTACCAGGCAGGTGCTTATGCTACTGAGCTATATCCCCAAAGAGTTAATTACAAAAATGCAAAAACAGGGCCAGTGATACAGTTCAGTGGCATAGCACCTGCCTAGCAAGCTCAAGGTCCTGTGTTTGATTCCAAGACCACCCCCAAAATGCAAATACAAATAAACCACTGAACTAGAAATTATTCTCGTAAAATGTCAGAATTTCAGAATGTACTATTTGCTTGACATTTATACATTTTTCTTTCTATATGCTGAAAACAAGATTAAAAATGAAATCTAGATAACTATATTTAGCAGCTGTTAATTCTTCAGAGACTTCCTCTAATTATCTTTAGCCTTTTCAGCACTAGTAAGATGAAGGATTAAAATACATCCTATTACAGATTTTGTTTTCTGGCTTGGGGTTTAGCTCAGCGGCATAAGTGTCTGCCTTGAAAGCAGGCAGTCATGAGTTCAATCCCCAGTACCGATAAAAAGGAAAAAGACAAAAAAAAAAAAAAAAGATTTTGTTTTGTAGCAGTGTTGGGGACTGAACTCCAGGCTTAATGCATGCTATAGAAATGCTATGCTACTGAGCTACATCCCAAGGTCTATTAAGAAGGCTTAATTCTGACAATAAATAAAATCTGAAGGAGGAAAAGTAAGAGAAAAATTTATTTTTAAAGATAAAAGTTCTGTATTTATTCATTCTGAAAATAGTTCACATAAAGATTTCATTACCATAGGAGAAGAGAAAGAATATATATACTTCATAAATTAAACTGTATAAATGTGAATGTACGTAATATGTCAGATGTTGTGTTAGGTGCTAGGAAAATAACACTGAATAAAATAATGGCTCCTACAAACTTAAATATGTAGGAGACAAAAATAAAAATATACAGCAGACAAGCATAAATATCAACTAAATTACCAGGGTTATGTAACAGATATAATCAGACAATTGGCTTTATCCAGAAAGCAAAAAAAGAAAGTGAGAGCTAGCAAGTGAGCCTACAAAAACTGGACACATTCTATGGACAACAAGGATCTACCAAGAGCTGGAAGAAGCAGCAGAACTACTCTAGAAAAATGACTTGTAGTCATACAGATTCAATGTCCCTAACCAAAACTCCAAAATTTTTGAGTGTGGATGTGATGCCACAAGTGAAAAATTCCACAACTGACCTCAAGTGATGGGTTACAGTAAAAAACAAAACAAAAAAAAAAACTGTACAAGGTTATCTCCTTCCTTATATATGAAAGAGAAATGAATCTCAGGTTTAGACTTGGTCTTGTTCCCAAAATGTAGCATGCATGTACATTATGTACATGTACATATTCCAAAATCCGAAACCTGAAATCTTTTTCGTTCTAAGTATTTTGGGTAAGGCATACTTGACCTGTATATATGTTGAGCAGAAAAGATAAGCAGGAGCAGCCACAGTCCTTGGAACTCTCAAGGATCCTAGAAATAAAGTCTGAAAGGATAGTTTGAAAACCCCTGGGAGGAAAGATAAGGAAGAACTTTCTGCCAAATCTTACAATGTTTCAATAGCTAGCATTAGGTACTCTTCAGAAATCAACAGAATAATTATAATATTCAACACAGTAACTACAATTAATATCTTAAAAAAAAAAACCCTCAACGCTTATACAGTTTGAATACAACTGCTAAAAATTCCATGGAATCACTCCAAGAAAGGGTCACCTGTGACCACCGGTAGTACAAGTATGTCTCCTAAATACACAAATAGGACAAACAGCCTAGAAAGCATACTCCAACTAAATAGTTATTATAGGTAAACAAATAGGAACTAGAGGCAAATGAAACATTAGAAGGAAAAGAGAATGAACACTACTAAATCAGTGCTCCTTAATAAATATTAAAAGATGTATCATTCTGGTCCAACTGAAGTAGAAAAAGTCAACTTGCATTATTTGAAGATTTAAGACTTCATAATGTTGAAAATTTAAATGTACTACACATTCCAAGTCTGTCTAGATTCTAGGTAACATGACTTATCTAGACTTATCAAGACCAACTGAACAAAAAACTTCAGCATTTACGTTGTGGAATATATGGGTAGAGAATGGAAATGCGATAATGATAATAATTTTTGTTGGTTCTGGAAGAGCTCCTACGTGCCATTAAAATTCATGCTGTGGAAAGTCATGGCATAAACAAAAAAGAAAAAGGGGATCAAAAAGCTGTTAATATCCAATTTGTCTGTTCGCCTTCCTTGCATAAGAAAGTAAGAATTAGCACTCTAAATCAGATAAAATCAGCCCCAAATTTCCACAGACGAGTTTAAAGCAGATAGGGTTTTCTTGGTTAATTTGGTTTTCAGTATCTTTCTTGAACCTCTGTGGCACTGGATTTCGTTCAACTAAGAAAGGAAAGAAAGAAAGAAAGAAAGAAAGAAAGAAAGAAAGAAAGAAAGAAAGAAAGAAAGAAAGAAAGAAGGAAGGAAGGAAGGAAAGAAAGAAAGAAAGAAAGAAAGAAAGAAAGAATCTGTTTCTAACTTTTAGAATTCTAATACCTAAAAAAGAGGACCCTCAGATTCTTGACATTTCTTCCAGTTTGAACTTTAGAACTATTAGAAGTCAGAGGCTTCCTAAGGAATATTTATTTCTTGGAATCTAACAAATTTTGAATGCAATAGTATGTCAAATTTATGTTAATTTTTTATAAATTCTGATTAAGTTTAAAAAAAGAATCTGAAACTATCCTCTGGATTTTCTTACATTTGAACCATTCTTTGTATGGCTCAATCTAGTAGACTAGATGTAAATTGATAAGAGTAACATCAAACTATGTCAAAACTATTATTGATATAATCATCAGAAAACTGATGTAATATATATTGCTCCTGCAACAATCTGTTAACCAAGAGTTCTAGCTTCAGGCTGGGGATGTAGCTCAGTTGTACAGCACTTGCCTAGTGCACGTGACGCCTTGGGTTTGATCATCAGCACTGCAAAAGAAAAAACAAACAAAACAAAACACTCCAGCTTAAAATGTTCATTTCTGAATCTTGATCCATTTAAAAAATAATGGCTCTGGTCAGAAAAGTTATATAACAATACACATCATTTGGTTGGGTTTCTCACCTAATACTCTGAATGGAAGAATTTAATGTTTCTTCCTGTATGCTACTGGTTATGGATGCTTCTTCTGGGACCGCTTGCACTGGCTGTACTACATGAACAGTCCGAAAGAGCTGGGTAGGATATGGAGACTGTGAGGGCTGCACTGTCCTCAAAATTTCTGGTGGCTGTGCAACTTCCACAGGATCTTTGGGTTTTGTAGCTTTAGAATTCCCTGGTTTTAGAACAGTAGTGGCTCCTCCTTTAATCCCTGGATTTGAAGATACTCTAGATTGGGTTGCTTGATTCCTACTTGAAGTGGCTGTTGAAGACAGTGATGGACTTGAAGACTCTATGCTGGAACTTGGATCTTCATCATCTATATAGATAAGATCTTTTGGCATTTCTTTAAATTGATATACTAAACGCTGACCTTCCACTTTTGCCAGAATACCCCTTTGGTAATAGTACCTATTGAAAGCAGACAATTTCATCAGTATCTTAGTCAAAAAAAATTAAAAGTTATCAAAATCAAGTTTTTCTAAGCATAAACAAAATTTTAAAAGTTTAAATCAAACACGTGAGAAAAGAACAAAGGCCAGTTATCTTGTACAGGATAATGTATAATTCACATACAGAGAAATATCCTTATTACTAGTTAAATCTAAAACCAGTTCTGATCAGAGACCTGATGAAATGTGACTGGATCTTTACTATTCTTCCTTCTCCTACACCTTGTTACTAAGTTGCTGAAATAATTAAGTCTACTACAAACCTCAAGAAATTGTTTCCCCTTCACAGCTTTCTATAACATTCCTACCACTGTAAATCTGATTCAGTTTTGTGAATAGTTAGTGATATACAATAGAAGTGATCAAAATATCATCACTAATTTTTAGTATAGTCAAGTACCTAAAAATGTAAGTCATCCAGGCATGGTGGCACATGCTTATAATCCCACCTGTTAAGAAGGACTAAAGGGGACTGGGGATTTAGCTCAGCGGCATAAGCACCTGCCTTGCAAGCAGGCGGTCGTGAGTTCGATCCCCAGTACCGATAAAAATGAAAAAGACCAAAAAAAACAAAGAAGGACTAAAAATTGGAGAACAGCCTGGCTAACTTAGCGAGACCTTATTTAAAATTAAAAATAAAATAAAAATTTAAATAATATAAAATATAAAAGGGTGGGGCTATAGCTCAGTGGTAGAGCACTTGCATAGGATAAATTAGGCCATAAGTTCAAATCTCAGTACCTTGTTTTTTTTTTATTTTTTTTTAAAAGAGTAAGTTAAAAATATCCAAACCACAGCTAAATAGTTCTAATTTAAAATAGCTGGACTACTTATCCTTTAAAAAATTATGCTGATCATTCCTGTTTCTAATCTTTCTCAAATACCTGTATCTCCAATACACATGTATCCTGCAAAGAAAAACTAAGAATGTAAGAATAAAATGGTATCTTTCTTTATTTATTTATCTATTTTTTTTGGTCTTTTTCCTTTTTCCCTTTTATCAGTATCAGGGATCGAACTCACGACTGGCCTGCTTGCAAGGCAGGAGCTTATGCCGCTGAGCTAAATCCCCAGCCCCATTGGTACCTTTCTTTAAAACTGTCATGATACCTAACATTGAAACATTAATTTACTACATTATACTAAACATATCAAAACTAAAACTTATGTTTTAAAATGCATTTCTTATTAAGTGCCTGCATTACCATCACTGATAATTCAGCCTTGATTTAAGTGTAATGGCTCAAAACAAACATGCTGACAGTAATTTACAATTCCCCAAAACAGACATTATGAATAAAACATAGGTTAAATATCATTTTTCGAAATGTTTAAGACAAGAAGTATTTCAGATTTTTTGTAGGGTTTTTTTTTAATGTCTGCATAGACTTTATAGGTCAAGCACCTCTAATCCCAAAATCTAAATTTGGAAGGGCTCCAAAAGTCAAAACATTTTAAGTATGTCAGTGCTCAGAACATTTTTGAGGTTGTGCAGCATTACATATTTCATACTTTTTTTTTTTTATTTCAAAAAGGGTAAAACAGGGGCTGGGGATTTAGCTCAGCGGCATAAGTACCTGCCTTGCGAGCAGGCGGTCGTGAGTTCGATCCCCAGTAATGGGGGGGTGGGGGGTGGGGTAAAACAAAACAGAACAAAATAGAACAAAGCAGATCAGAAGAAAACAATGTAAGTGACACAGATTTCAAATCAAGACAACAGGAAATCTACAGTGGCAACCATAATGTCTCTTGTTTTCTTCTAAATAATTGTCTATATCTTCACACCCAATGAATTCATACAACACAATCATACATTTTTTAAAATTAACAATGCTTAATTAGTTTAATTTTTAAATTAACTTAATTTTTAAAATTAACAATGCTTACCAGGTTAAAGATTTTTTTAAGAAGGAAAACATTTTCCTTGATTAGAGTAAGATTTTAATTTAAGTACATACTGATTGCAAGTGGCCTTGACACTGTAGTAAATAAAATTCCCTATTTCTTTAATCTCTTAATTTTTAAAAAATTATCTACTTTTTCAATATCTAGAAAATGATTTTTTTTACCCTTGGCACCAATGGGCATTGAACTCAGGCCTTTGATTATGCTGTGCAAGTATTGTACCACTGAGTTATACTCTGAGCCTCTAGGAAATGATATTCCTAACAAAGCAAAAACTTTACATACCTGAGTGCTCGTCCCATGGTCTCATAATTCATATCAGGTTTGTTTTTGTGCTTTCCCCACAACCTGGACACCGCTTTAGAATCGACCAATTTAAAAATGCCTTTTTCTCGCTGGGTCCATTTAATGTATTTAGGACAAGTAGCTTTGTCTTGCAGCAGGGCCAGTAAAAACTCCCAAAGATAAATTGTGTTTCCTGAAACAGAAGGATTTATTTTTCTTTTTTTTTTTTTTTTTTTGTACCGGGATCGAACTCCAGACCTTGCATTTGTCAGGCAGGCGCTTATTCCATTGAGCTAAATCCCTAGTCCCTGGATTTATTTTTCAATGACTAAAATTTCACTAAAAAGAGCACAATAAAAGTCTTATAAATTTTATCATGTATTTACATAAAAATACTATATACTTCATTCAGCATCCCTAAGATAATTCCATTAATATTGGTGGTATTACGGACATAATTTTTAGAGCCTAATAAAGACTATTTTATGAAACCTCTATAAAACATCTGAACAGAAACAATCTTGTCAATTAGATTTGTGACAACTTAGGGAGAAAGCACTTCTGAGTACATTTTTTTGTTTTTAAGAACCATCACATAGGGGCTGGGGATTTAGCTCAGCGGCATAAGCGCCTGCTTTGTAAGCAGGCAGTCGTGAGTTCGATTCCTGTACTGATAAAAAGGAAATAGACAAAAAAAAAAAAAAGAACCATCACATAGGAAAAAAAACAGTTACATAAAATCTTTCAAGACATGATCTTTTTATACTGCAGCCAACGGATCAGCTGTAACAGATTTCTTCAAATCTGGCAACAGTTATGCAAACAATGGGAGTCATGACAAAGTAATAACATGTCTATAAACTAAAAGTCTAATAAGGCTGAAATCTTGCAAGACACTGATTATTAAATAAAAGAATGGTTTTGATAGCTAAATGAGAATAAGCATTTATAGAATTTTCTAAAAATTTCCTTTAAAATTTGGCAACTACATCTTACATGTGGTTGGTAGCAACACATTTTATTTCAGTATATCAAGAAAATTGGGGTTGGGGATTTAGCTCAGCAGCATAAGCGCCTGCCTTGCAAGCAGGCAGTCGTGAGTTCGATCCCCGGTACCGATAAAAAGGAAAAAGACAAAAAAAAAAAAAAAAAAAAAGATCAAAGAAAACTATTTATTTCTAACTTATAATATCTGGACAAATAAAGGAACTGAAATGCTAATGGACTTGTAAATATTACAGAAAAATTACAGTGGTACCTACCCTTCCCATCTTTGTTTCTCTTTTTCACAGATATATTTGGCGTAGTGGCTGGAGAATCTGGTCGTGGGGGCTTCGTTTTTCTCCCTGAAATCAGAATAGCTTTGCCATAAGTATTTGCCCTCCAAAATGAGAAAATGGAAAATTTAATTATTTTGTCACTTATCCTAAATTTTAATCCCAAATGCTTTATATATGGATCTCCAAAATGTCTACTAAAAGAAAAACAACTTCAGTAAAAACTGAACATTAATGTAGACTAGTGCACAAATACAGCTATGAAATAAATGATCTTTGGCTACAAGTAGTGGTACATGTTTGTAGTCCCAAATACTCAGGAAGCTGAGGCAAAAAAGACCAGCCTGGGCAACTTAGCAAAACTCTGCTTCCAAATAAAAAAAAAAATTTTTATAAAAAGCAGCGACAAACTAGTCATGGTGGCATATGGCTATAATCCCAGCACTCGGGAGGCTGTGGTAGGAGGATCACTTCAAGTTCAAGGCCAACCCTGGGTTACAAAGTGAGTTCAAGGTGAGTCTAAACTGCACAGCAAAGCTTTGTCTTCCAAAAGATTAAATACATACATACATATATACATACATGGAGATTCTCCTGCTTCAGACTTCCAAATGCTGGGATTATAAGTGTGTGCCACCATGTTTGGTTTACCTTGTATAGTTTTTGTCTGTTTGAGATAGGGCCTCGCTATTCAGTTCAGGCTGGTCTTGAGCTTACTTAGTAACCCAGGCTGGTCTTAAAGTCGCAATGATCCTTCTGCTGCCACCTCCCTACAGGTGTGCACCATCATGCCCAGCTTATCTTGTGTATTTTTTAAATGTAATTTTTCTCTATTTCTTTCAATTCATAGCAAACAATTTCATGGTCATCCACTATTATCCTCTACATAAATCTATCCCAATGGCCTTAATCTAAGTTGATAAAGCTTGTTGTGTTCTTTTGCTACTTAATTACAACCATACTTTGGTAGCACCGTTTCTTACATATAGTTGAGATGCTCATGCTCATGCTCATGCTCATGCTCATGCTCATGCTGCTGGAGCAGCCTACCATTCTGTATACAGTTATAATCTCTTCCCTCCACATTGTTGAGGTTGATGCTCACAGGTTAGATCAGAGGGTGAATTTTTGGTTATTATAAAGCAATCTTAGAAAAGCAAGATTGTAGAGCTAAAAATGACAAGGTTAATAACAAGCAATCCCTAGAAATTGAATAGAAGAACAGTTCTGAGTTATTTGGGTAATTAGAGAGAGGGAAAAGATGGTCAAAAGGCCACTAGTCAGCTGCAAACACTGCCGAATGTACTACTGGGTGTGGTAACACATGCTTTTAACACCAGCACTCCAGAGGCTGAAGCAAGAAGAGCAAAAGTTTGAGATCAGCCTGGCTGTGTAGTGAGTTCAAAGACAGCCTTGCATACACAGGGATATCCTGCCTAAAAAAATAAAAGACTGCTATATGGATCCAAATTAGCCAGATATAACTTTTACATCACCACAGACATCTGCAAAGAATCATTTATGCAGCAGATTCTCTTAGCTGAGTGTTTTCATAATAATTATTAAAAGTCAGGACATCAGCAACCTCCTACCATCTCATTTTATGCTATATACTTGTTTTTTCTTTATTCCTGTCACATTCTTCCAACTAGTTTTATTCGTGACAAGACGTTGCTAGTAGTCTATCCAAAATCCATCTTACATCACTTTTTTTACTACTCAAAGTGGCATTGCACACAGTTGTAATACACAGTTACAGCCTGCTGGGTAAAGCATTTTTTGATTACTTGTTATTTTTTCATAGCATTTTGAATATATCCAATTCCTCTAGCCTCTTAATGGGTACTTCCAAAGCTGTCAATCTAAAAAAATTAATGTTCCTTAAGTAATATAATTTCTCCCTGCTTTGTTTCTTTCTTTCTTTTAAGGGAGACTTGGGGAGGGATATTTGGATAGTCTACATTTTTACTATCAATTCCTGGATTTACATAGCTAGATGTATTGTAGTTAATACTATTCAAGATCCATAATGCTGAGGATTAATATCGTTCTGGAAAATTCCCAGTCACTGTCTTTGAATACTGTCTCGTCTTCACTTTTTGGAGCGAGAGTACTATGATTAAACCAGGGACTTTTGCTGCTAAGCAAGCACTTTACCACTGAGCCACACCCCCAACCCTAGCTTTTTTCTTTAACCTATACTGAAACTCATTCTTTTGTGTTATATATACCAACAGTGTGCTCCATTTTATTAATGACTGATTTATTCCATCAATAGTTGCTAGACACTGGAGAGGTTTCCAATGTAGGGGCACATGCAAACAGGGCTGTCAAGAATATTCGTGGTGGTAAATTTCATTTTTTTAAAAATATTTAATAGCGGGGCTTGGGATTTAGCTCAGCGGCATAAGCGCCTGCCTTGAAAGCAGGCAGTCATGAGTTCGATTCCTGGTACCGATAAAAACGAAAAAGACAAAAAAAAAATATTTAATAACAGAACAGCTAGGTAACATGTTAAGTATATATTAAGATTTTTAGGAAACAGAGAAGTACTTTTCATAACAACTTTTCTATGAAGCTGGGGCAGTCACAGGGCTCACCTCATATGTTTTCTCTCGCAGAAGGAACACAGGCTTTTGTTGGCTTATATCCAATTTCTTTAGTATCACTGTTTCATATATTTCGTCTGTTATTCCATTTTGACTAGCAGAGGAAGTTCTACCTTGTCTTCTTTAATAGTCTTACTCTTGGATAATGCTATTTATCAACCATGTTAATTCTTGGACCACGTTTTTATTCTTTTAAGCACTATAATCACCTTCAAAGTTTCTATTTGATAATTTTATTACCTGTGGCTCTTAAGGAACCCTGAATTTTTCTATATCTGCTGCTTTTTACTCAGGAAGTGTCTTCCTCATGTATTTTGTGGTAGATACCAGGATGTTAGTTCACCTTCATCAAGGCTTTACCTGAGGAAATCTTGTGTAGCCTAGGTTGAATGTATAACCCACCAAAGCAATTTTATAAGAGCTGACTGGTTCACCAAAGTTACTACTAGCCTGGGGACACTTTTATGTTAACTACATGACTGGGAATTTCTATAATTAGTGAGAGATTACTCTCATTTTAAACCTAGTTATCAAGGAAGCCAACGATCATGAATTCTCATTGGAAAAATTTCTCCACTGGCTGACAAATGCAAACTTCCTTGATGTCTGTTTGTATCAGCAAGTAGAATTTTACCCGAGGCTGTAAACCTTTAAGGGTCCCACTTATCTGTTCACATCTCTGTCTAGTAGATTATCTTGCAGAGGTCCAAGACCTAAGTTTCTGCCTCATAGGGGCAATAAAGCCAAGCCTCATATGGTAGCCTTGGGCCTTCAGAGCAGCTAGAGTAGCTATTGCAGCTACTGTCTTCTTCATTTTTGGCTCCTGGAATTTCCTTTTCTTTCATGTGAATTTACATTTTCAGTGGTAAAAAAAGAAAACAAAAACAAGGATAGATCATTGGCCATTAACCAAGATATTAAACTCAAAACAGAACACAAGCAGGGAAACAACCAGAACACAAATGAAAGGGAAAGAATGTCAGACTTTAGAATGCAAGCGTGGTCCTAATTTGTGACATTAAACATTCTCCTTTCATACATTCCAACATTTTTTTCTTCAATTACTTACAACTTACTGCAGTTTTCCAACTGTAACCTTATATTGGAATCAATAATATAGACTGGTGGCTTTTAATCTATTTCCCTCTGGAGGACCCTGACTTACTCTTAATCCTGAGGCTTTGATAAAAGGGTTTAGATAAAAATATGAGGCTTAAAAAAGTTGGCAAATATCTTTCTTGTGATATAAACCCAATATTCTAAATCCATGAAATAAAAGGTTTTTTAAAAATGACTCTATTATGAATACTTAATTTTATGCTCCAAAGTTTTCTTACCTGTTTTAATTAGTATAAAATTATACCACTGAATAAAAATTATATTTATATTTTACATCAAAGACTTGACTATCTGCCTTAAAGAAATGAACTACTCACCTTTCTTTCTTTTAGGCTGTTCTAGTGATGAGGCACCTGGTGAGTCTGCATATGTTTCTTGTACCTGTTGAGTTTCCATCACTTCAGGAATCCCATCTAATGTGACAGATACATGAGTGATTGGGGCAACAACAATGTCATCTTCAGATGAACTAAATATATTATTACCTAATGGAAATAAAATCAAATATAATCAACTGTGTATTATAAACCAAAGTAAATTAATAAAATAACTTCTTATTCCTATCAATATTAAAGTAGAAATACAAATCTTAAAATCTATTCTGATTTTTATTTCCCTTTCTCTAAATCATGACAGGTTTGACTTGATGATTTCAATGGTGTTCTTACTTGACTTTCTATTCACCACTCTGTCTTGTCCTTCTCTGTGTTAACAATTATCTCCTAGGAACTGGGATTTAGCTCAGTGGCATAAGCACCTGCCTTGCAAGCAGGCGGTCGTGAGTTCAATCCATGGTACCGATAAAAATTTTTAAAAAATAAAAAAAAAAAAAACAATTATCTCCTAAAAGCTAAGTCTAATCTGACTACATTGTTCTTCTACATAAAAGCTTTACATCCTGGAAATCAAAAGTAGAAAGTATAGGAAAATATAGCTTCTTAAAATTTGCTGAACAACAAAGAACAACCCAATCTCCTTAGTGTGTCTTTCAACATTTTCACAATCTAAACTAAATCTTTCCAATCTCATCTCTCACCTACTATGAAGCTTGCATTTTGGTTATGTCAAAACAGTTATCTTTCAAAATTTTATTTTTAAAGGTTGGTTTCTGAGGCACTATCCATTAACTTCTAGCTTAACTATTCTTTTTCATCTCCTCTACTGATTAAAAGTTTGTCACTTATAACCCAGGTTAAAATATCCCATCAAGCCAGATATGGTGCACACATCAGTAATCTCAGCTACTCAGGAGAGGCAGGAGGATTTTAAATTTAAGGTGAACCTAGACCACTTAGTGAGACCCTGACTCTGAAAAAAAAAGGGGGAGGGGGAAGAAGAGGAAGGAGAAGGGGAAGGGGAAAGAAAGCTAAGTGCAGGTCAGTGGTAGAGTTTGTGGCTACATACCATGCAAGAAAGTCCATGCTGGACTCAATCCCCAGTCTTGAAAAACAATCCCCCTATCCTAAACATTCCCTCAATAAAGTCTGTCTCTGACACTCTCTGCTGCAAATACTGACTGCTTCCAGTGACAACTTTGTTATCACTCTCCTGGCTTCTATTTTCAGTTTTTATAGTTACACAAAAACTAAATTGTAATTAGCAACTTAGCAAGAAGATTCTGTGTCAAAAATAAACAGCTGGGAATGTACTCATCAAAAACCCTGGGTTAAAACCCCAGCACTGCAGGTAAACAGACTGTAAGGTTGGGAAAAGGAATCGATAATATTACTGCCTAATGCACTGCTATAATGAATACAGCAAATGTTCATAAATATCTTGAATTGATTTAGTAATAATTTTATGAGTTTAAATAATTCTTTCTCAGAAAAAATACAAAGAAAAACATAGATTTCCAAGTGGATCAATAATCTGGCAAAGAATTTTATACCAATAAAGAGTTAGCAAAATGTTTAGTGATTATGCCAATCCACTTATAATTATACAGATGAGTAAATTATAATGATCTGGGCTTATCAAAGAGATTAAAAGAAGATTATGTATAACTGTTTCACCAAGGAGATTAAGAGAAAATGATGTATAATTTACTATTTGATAGCTTATAAATTACTTTTGTTTCTAAAGGCTTCACTCCCCCAAAGTAAAGTTGTCTTTAACCGAATACCTCAGCAAAGGTGCCTCAATAAGTACTGTACCTTAAAACGTGTTTAGGACATTTTAAAAACGTAGTCTTGATATCTAGATAGTTATCACCTAAATGTCCACTCTACAAGCTTTAATTTTGTGACTTGAACAATTATTTCTAAGATGGCAATTTGTAATCCATTAACTAGTGATTTCCTACTGTTCATTTTTTTCTTCTGTAAATCTGTATAACTTGTACCCTTTCACTGTTTTTTTTTCTTTTCTCCTTAAATAAAAAAAATAAAAATAAATAAAAAAATAAAATAAAAAAAGATAGCTATCACCTAATAGAGATGGTAAGAATAACTTTATGAAATACATAAAAATGAGCATTAAACCACTCACTTATTCGTTTTTCATCCAGCATAGGACCAGGAGAATCCATATTAAAAAGTGCCTCAGCAGCCTCAATTGTTTCAATTGTTTCATCTCCATTATGACAAGAAGCTTCGACTATAATACATTTAAAGAAAAAACAGAATTAGTTACAAGATATTGGTTGCTGTGAAATTCACACTCTACTAATCCCTTGAACTAAGATACATCACTTAGTATGAGTTTTATATACATGCAAACTATAGACAGACACAATTTGTATCAACACATAAAATAATATTGTACCTAATTAAGTGACTACCTCTTTTTTTTTTCTTTGTTTTTTTCATTTTTCTCAGTACCAGGGATCGAAATCACGACCGCCTGCTTGCAAGGCAGGTGCTTATGCCACTGAGCTAAATCCCCAGCCCCTGACTACCTCTTTAAAAAAAAAACAAAAAAAAAAAAAACTTTACGATATGTTGGAGGTAAAAGAGTAAGCAAAGTAGAGCACATACTCAGAAGCACACTCACTATATCATTTCTCTGCAAACTGATATATTTTCCATAATTAAGGATGGACAATGGAAAGTACCCTAGAATAACAGAAATCCTAACCATATCACTAAACCAGTATGTTACTAACAAAGTCATTTTGTTTCTCAAGAATCTCATACTATGTCAAGTGATAGTCTTAAGGTATTTTTTGCTTCTAAGATCAGTGCTATTACTCTGATTATAACATGAGTTTCCATTAATCTCTGAATCTTCCTTCATTAGTGAATTATTGTTTCCAATAAACTTTAGGCAGTGTCACACTGTCAGAATCTAATATATTTTGGCACCATTCTTCTCTGATGTGTTTTGTGGAACATTCATTACTGTATCATGGACTTTGCCTAATCCATGATACAGATTACATAATACTTTTTTTTTTTGTCTTTTTCATTTTTATTGGGCCCAGGGATTGAACTCACGACTGCCTGCTTGCAAGGCAGGTGCTTATGTCGCTGAGCTAAATCCCCAGCCCCTACATAATACTTTTAAAAGGTTGGATGGATATACAAAGCCAACTCAGGGTTAGGCTTACAGTAAATTACTAAATATTATAATACTTTTACACTTATAATTCTACACAAAGGTAAAAAATAAATATAAACACTGTCAATTGTAATGGAAGAAGAGTTTCCACAGAAGTAGAATAAGATCTACAAATTTTCAAAAATTGTATCATAATCTTTTTTCACATAAAAAGTACATGGAACTCCCAATATAAAACAGATAAAAGAGGTATTTTTCATTGTTTTTTAAAAATTTTTTGGTGGACTGGATAGGGCCTCTGCAATGACTTACACCCCCAGCCCTTTTCCTATTTTTTATTTCAAGCCAGAGTCTGCCTAGGCTGCCCAGCTTGGGCTTGAATTTGCAATCCTCCTGCCTCAGGATGCTGGCATCAGAGGTGTGTGCCACTTCACCCAGCTTCGTTATACATTTTTGATAGGTTCAAACTGATATCAAACTTCATATGTGGTAAGTCAATGATTAAAATGGAAGTTTTCTGATGAACATGAAAATTTGAAAATATAAGTTATGGCAGCTGCAATTTAATACAAGCTTCAAATTCAGTGTGTCCATTAAATCTTTTTTAATTATTGGAAATAACAAAATCAAATTTACAAAACCGTACAATGAAACCCACATGTCCATTCCCAGGTTCAAATATTTTTAACGAATGGTAATCTTATGATATTCATGCGCCTCTAACTGACCAAAGTCCTTACTCTCTGCACAAGTTTCCTTTGAAGGAATTTAAGATCTTGTAATTTAGTAGGTGTATCTAAAGAGTCTAACATGTGCTATAATATTTTAAAACAATAATAAATAATTCTCACTATCGTCTGTTATGGGCTGTATTAAGTTCTCTCAAAACTCATAAAATGAAGAACTATTAGTACCTTAGAATATGACTGTACTTGGAGATAGTCTTAAAGTTAAAATGAGTTCTTTAGGACAGACTCTAATCCAAACTGCTAAGTATCTTTGTAAGAAGTAATTTGGAAAGAAATAGAAACAGAAAGAAGAAAGAAAGAAAGAAAGAAAGAAAGAAAGAAAGAAAGAAAGAAAGAAAGATAGGTAGACATAAGCAGGTACAACAGGAAGACTAAAATTAACACAGAAAACTTCATCTACAAAATCAGGAAAGAGGTATCAGAAGAAACCAGACCTGCTGATCCCTTGACCTCAGATTATCAGGTTCCAAAAAAGTGAAAAAAAATCTCTGTTTGGAGAAACTCAGTCTGTAGTACTTGGTGAAGACATCTCTAGCAAACAAGTGCATTCTCTGAAGTAACATCTAACATCATTAAAAATAAAATTGTTTATCCCTATATGTCTTATTCTAGAGCTGCTCAAAACACCATACAATCTTCTCCATTCTGGAACAAAGAATGGCTACAAACATCTTAAACGGACTAGAAATTTCATCTATACTTAATATTCAGCTCTAATAATCCAAATGTCTTTCACTAGGTTGGCCTAGAACTCATGGTGATCCTCTTGCCTCAACTTCCTGAGTACTGAGATTATTGGCGTATGCCAGAATGTGCCAATTTCTAAAAGTGATGAAAATTTCACTATCACTACTTATTATATAGTCGATTCTTCAAGTTTGAAAAACTGAAGTCCTGACTGAACATGAAGAGAAATCTTCAGGATTTTTTTTTTTTTTTTTGTCTTTTTCCTTTTTACCGGTACCAGGGATAGAACTCATGACTGCCTGCTTGCAAGGCAGGCGCTTATGCTGCTGAGCTAAATCTCCAGCCCCTCTTCAGGATCTTATATATTCAGATCACGGCCTACTATCTCATTCCTATAAACAACTTTCCATTTTGTTCTTTGGAATATAGAGCTACACATATAAAAAAAAGTACTTGGTGAGGACAGGATGAATTAAATAGGTTTGACTTCTCTGGTATACCTCCTAGTTTTTCATGTTCACGTCAATGCATTTAAGAAAAAATAAACAAGGTGAGAAACCAGTAGAAAATAGGACAGATGAAAGAAAATTGTTTTCTTCTTCCTGCAGACTCGACATTCAGCAAGTAATAAAGTACTCAAATCCAAATTAGAGACTTTTTACATTCAAAATCTCCACTGGGACACAGCCTAAAAACTGAACTGTATCAAGGTCCCATGAGAGTCACCGCACCTGTAAGAGTGATGTCATCATCATCATCATCTATAATTTCTTCTTCAGCAACATCCAGTGAACTTTCAGTAATCATGTCATTGGGCTCTTCCACACAGGCAAGACCAGCGTAACTATTTAGAATATCAGCACCAGGAACATGTTCCACAATGACAGCTGGAAAAATAGCTGGATCACAAAGCTGTTACGGATAAAGAGTGAAAGACGACAGAATACAAAGGATTAACTAAGTTTTACTTTTAGATATAATCTCAAAATATTTCACACTTGTACATCAATTTCATTTCTGTATCATCCACTACACTTACGTTGACATTCCTAAGCTGCAAAAAATATGCATAAAAATAAACTTTTATTGTTAAGCTTGACTCTTAAAGATCAAAGTTTATACCACATATCTTAAATATACATTTTAAGATGATTTTACATAAAATACAATAAGATATTACTAATGCTCAAGTGTGAACCACAAAGCAACATACAAATGAAATATACAATTAAATAAAAATCTCAATCAAAGTTTTTTTGGCATAAATATTAGTCTAATATTACATTGTCACTTGCCATAAAGCCTTGCTTAAACACTTTCTGATTCACATAAAATAAACTTTTATTTTCTATAATTGTCCTCTTTAAGTATGACTATATTAGGAATACAAATTATTACTAATTTAGAACTGAGAGAATTCTTAAAACTTAACCTAGGGCAGTCACCTCATTGTACAGATGAGAAAACTGATGCACAGAGAGTTTTTACAACCTAATTAAAAAATCAGTGACAAACCTCGTTAAACTATTACTTCCTTTACCTTTTATTTTTAAATAACGGCAGACTTAGGAAATTGCAAAAATAGCACAAAAACTTCTACCCAACTTTAACCAATATAACCCCAATTTTAACACTTAATCATTTTATCATTCTCTCCCGGTTTTTTTGTCTTGAGGTGTTAGACATATCTGCTTCTTTAACCTAAAATACTGCAGTTTATTTCTGAAATACATGAATATCTACTAAAAGGTAGTACAACAGTCTAAACCAGGAAAGTAACACTGATGCTGTTGACATTGAGACTATTGTCTAATCTAGAGATCTTAATTGAATTTCCCCAAATAGCTTACTAATGTTCTCCATTTTTAAAAAATGAGAAGAAAAGAGGCTGAAGATTTAGCTCAGCAGTATAAATACCAGACTGGCAAGCACAAGATCACGAGTTCAATCCGTGGTATCAAAAAAAAAAAAAAAAAAAAAAAAAGAGGTAAAAAAAATTTTGATTCAAGATTCCCTAGTTTCATTCATCAAATACCCTGTTTGTTAATGACAATTCCTTTAATCAGGAACAGCTTCTTTTTTACTTTGTAACAACTTTTCACTCTTTGTCTTTCACAATCTTAACACTTTGAAAAGCACTTAAATATCCAATTTAAATTTGGATATTGCTTCAGGATTGTATTTGCTTAGCATTTTTTGGTGAGAATACCAAAGAAGTAATGTTATGTCCTTTAAAACCTATCATGTAGCTAGCAAGATGGCACATACCTAACACCAGTGTCATGGTTTATGTTTGTGTCCCCCAGGCCTCATGAGTTTGCATTGTTCATATGTGATGGTTCATTGTATAGGGCTTGGATTGATGGTGTCAGTGCTCCATCCACATAGGGGTGGAGCCAGGATGTGATATAATGGCAGGAAGGTGTATCTTGCTCTTTGCTGGTTTGAGCTTGCTGTTTACAGCCGCCACGAGCGATCCAGCCATGTCCGCCAGTCTTGGAGCCAACTGAGTGTGGACTGAAACCTCCAAAAACTGTAAGAAATAAACCTTTCCTTTCCCAACTTTGGGCTTCAGGTATTTTGTCTCAGCGACGAGTAAAAAATAACTAAGACAACCAGCATTCTGGGAGGCTAAGGAAGAAGGATTACAATTTTGAGCACAGCCTGGCCAATCTGGTTCCTTAAACTCTGCCTCAAAACTAACTAACCAACTAACTAACTAACTAAGTGTACGTAAATGAATAAAGGGGCAGGGATGGAAAGCCAAATATACACACTCAGACAAAAGGCCCTACGTGCAACTCCCAGATACCACCCCCCCCTCCACACACACACGATGCAGTCAAGGTTGGTGATACATGCCTGTAATCACAGCACTCTGGGAGGCTGAGGTTCAAATTACAAATTTGAGCCCAACTGTGAGCAATTTATCAACTCAGAAAGACCCTATTTCAAAATTTTACAAAACTAGTACATGCTAGCAGGCTGAGTTTATAGCTCAGTATGAAGGTCCTAGGTTCAACTCTCAAACCCACAAAAAATAAAACACTTCATATTGGGGAACCTGAAATAATTATTTATCCCACTGTTTAGAATATTAACTTTGATTAGTAAGTTAAGATGATGTTTCTCCACCAGAAAGATACCATTATTTTCCTTTTCCAATTAAAAAGTATCTTATGGGAAGATACTTTAAGACTATTTTTCTCTTTGTTTTTTCTTTCCGTTTCTGAGATAGAGTCTAGCTATGTCTTCTGTGTTAGTTTTGACCTCACTACATAGCCCATGCTAACCTTGAACTCACAGTGATTCTCCTGCCTGTCTCCCACGTGCTGGGAATATAGGTGTGCATGTGCACAGCAACATCCTGATTCTCAACATTTCTCCATAAAATGATTTCTTAAATACGAGAAAAGAATTCCTGCTCGTAGATAATATGGTCAGGTATTTTCCTTAAATAAGTCTGCTATCTAGGGTTGCATTATAATAACCAGTCTCAAAATTATTATGCTTAAACAACAGCACAAAGCTTAAGATTATGTCGCTCATAGGAATTTAATTACCTAAATTTAATATGCATCACAGGTACTAAACAGATACTATTCTTGCCTTCAAAAATGCTATGCTCTGAAATCTATGGCTAGTAACACTGAAGTATTCTAAAGTACACTTGGATCGTTTTATTTCACAATGCTTCTTCCTATTTCAAAAAAGAAGTTAACCAGAAGAAATTGGCTGTTCAAACTGTAAAATCAGCTTAAAACTGAACGAAACTCAAAAGTTATGCTGTGAAATCACACTCCCACAGAGGCAATCGAGCAAATATCAGATTCTGCCTCGAAGCAAACTACACACATTTGGTTTTGCCTTTGAGAGGTGATTAGTAGTCACAAATCCAACACAGCATAAACTTTACTTATTAATAGTTTGCCTTCTGTTCTCAGCTTTTAAACTCTTAGGACTTCTAACAAGACTGAGTCCAGAGTTCAATACACTTTTACATTTCATTTTATGTTGCTACAATCCCAGTATAAGAACAAAGTTCATCACTCCATCCACTGAAAGGTGAGGAATCAGGTTAAGAATCTTATCCAAAGCCACCCACTAAAATGAGATTGAGGCATGTCAAATGCAATTCACTGATGCAATCCTCACACAAATAATACCAATGTATTTTTCCTACTTACGAGATTACTGCCGTCTGGACAGAGACTACTAAGAGTGCAGACATTGAAAGAGATACATCTATAATTTTATCTCAATCTTTTTTGCTCCCAAGTTGCAAATAACTGCAGATAATTATTATTTTCTTTCTTGTCCTCTTCTACTAAACTGCAATTAGGTAGAGGGGTTGATAAATCTTTCCCCAAAATTTACAAGTCTCAAGACTACCTTGTCAAATACCACTATAATCATAGTTTCTTCTACATTAGAGCCTTCCTCCCAAGAGGCAAGTCATAGCAGTTTCTTTTGTTTCCTAGCAGAGACAGACAGTCAATGTATAATCAAGCACATTCTAATTTCTTTTAAACAATCATTTTAATTTCAGATCAAATAACTTAATTTTAGAACTGTAAAGAAAAATTTTAGACTGGGGGTGTAGCCAATGGTAAAATACACTGGGTTCACACCCTTGTTACCAAAATGCCAGAAAAAGGAAAGAAAAATTCCAGCACAACAGTAGAAAAAAGTGTTTCCTCTGGAAGAAAAGCTTAATTACTAGTGAAAGGGGACACAATGCTGTTATTTGGAAGGCCACAGCATGCAGTAAAAAAGACATATAGGGTAGCAATGTGACTCAGTGACAGAGGGCTTGCCTAGCACTTACGAGGCCCTAGGTTCAATCCCCAGGACCACAAAAGGCTACAGATTCTAAAACCGCCTGAGCATTTAACATTGCAACAGAAGACATTTATTCTTATACAGTAAATAAGGGGAGCAGCACACACAGTGGCCACTGTCTGCTGCCTCTGCTACTGCTATTAGCTAGCATAACTTAACAGGCATGCAGCATTTTGCTCATAGCTTGACACAGATTACCACCAAATGTTACAGAATTTCTGAGAGAGACACTGAATTATTTTATATACAAGGGAAAGTAGAAGGAAGCAGAAGGAAAATACAAGGGACACACCCTATTCTCAGGTTCACCAATTAAACCAACTGTATTGAAAATATTTTTAAAAGTGTCTATACTGCATTTTTTCTTGTCACTACTCGCTAAATAATGTAACACTGACAAAAACAATTACTCACAAAGCATTTACACTGCTTTGTATCTCTAGATTACACAGGTAATCTAGAGATAACCTGAAGTATATGGGAGGATATACACAGGTTGACTGTAAACAACTTATCATTTTATATAAGGTACTTACGTGTCTGCAGATTTGGTATCTGCAGAGGCCCTGAAACAAATTCCTCTCAAGACACTGAGGAATAACCATAGTTTACTATAGGCCAAATACCCAGCAACCTGAACTGACTCCAAGACTCACTTTGTTTACCTCTACACTACTACAGTAAGCCTTAAACATGTTGCAGTTTTGTACTGTTGACAAATTTATTTGGCTGTATTTAGAAAAGCAGAATAGGTAAGAAGCTGTGTTTGAGAGGGATGTACACCTTTAATGCACCTTTTCCAAGGCATGCCCTGTCTGAGTTTATAATACACTTCTTTAGCATAGCCAGTTTCTCTCAATCCACAAGATACAAACCAGGAGCACAAATATTTTAATCTGTCTTTTTCTGATGTCCTTGCTCGTCTTATGAAAAACATGGGCATGTTTCTCACGTACAGAAATGAGGATGTATATTCAAAGTTGTTCACTTTTCATTTCTCCTGAGTGCTACTGATCAGTATTTAACAAGTTAATTCTGCATCTTCATTAAGAATATGAATAATTAGGCAC